TTGGTGATTTGATGGGCATGGATAACAATTCTATTGTTCCTCTTGATCAACCAGTTACTCCTACTGGGTAAGGAAAAAAATATCATTGTGCTTTATGGTTTGTATTGTTTTGAAGTCAGTTGTCCACTATATGCTTTCATTTTTGAATCATGGCCTGCACTTCCCGTGTGATTAAAGAGTCCTTGTAATTCTATCGCAAGTTATAAAATATGTGTTGTTATCTGGTGACTTTTTGGAATTCTTTGGTAAGTATTAAATATCAAAGTATTACTCTTGAAGATGGGAAAGAGAAGACAATAAAATATCAATGCCTCAGGAGTATCTTGAACCTTTATTACTTTGGTTGTTATGAAATCAAACTTAACTAGGTCCTCTCCCCTGATTGCAGACCTCCATTGCCTGTTTTGCTACCTGCTTCAACTGGTCAAGGTTTACAAATCAGTGCACAGCTGACAAGAAGGGATGGGCAAGTTTTTTACAGTTTGCTGTTTGAGAACAACTCTCAGTTTCCACTTGATGGATTTATGATACAATTCAACAAGAACACATTTGGTCTTGCAGCTGCAGGACCCCTTCAGGTTTCTAATTCTAATGGTTTTACCATTTAACTGAGAATTGAATTTGTCCATCTCAGTGAGTTCAGCAAAGCAAACATTCTAATAAATGGCTTATATCCTACCAGGTTCCACTGTTGCAACCTGGAGCATCTGCAATGACACTGTTACCTATGGTCATGTTCCAGAATATGTCCCAAGGTCCTCCCAGCTCACTTTTGCAGGTTGCTGTAAAAAACAATCAACAACCTGTGTGGTATTTTAATGACAAAATCTCCCTGCACACATTCTTTACAGAGGATGGAAAAATGGAACGTGCTGCTTTTCTAGAGGTATACTTTTGTTTTCCCTCCAATTTTTAGTAATATCTTCTTATATAACCACAACAGGTTCCCAATTAAGAAAATCATTGGAAGCTGCCCTGTCAACCTCAGATTCCATGCAATATATGTGCTTAATATCTAATTAAGCTATATAACTAATGTGTCGAATTTCCAATTTGTTCCCTTGAATGATTTAGTCCAACTATGAGTCAGATGAATTCCATTAAATGCCTAATAATTTTAGCTCAGTTGACGGTTAGATGGATGTAGATTTGGGCAAAGCCCAAGGACATCCATTGCCTTAGTATTGGAGTGAAAAACCGAAAAAGCTGAGTTGAATCAAATACTAAAAGGACTAATTCTAGTGAAACTTTACACAATGATAATTTGCTGCTGTCCCAATGATTGACTTGCATGTGGAAGTAGAAATCTGATCACTAAATTTGCTGCAGACATGGAGATCCCTTCCGGATTCAAATGAGATTTCCAATGACTTCCCCAACCTAGTGATTGGCAGTGTGGAAGCAACACTGGAACATCTGGCTGCATCGAACATGTTCTTTATTGCAAAACGCAAGAATGCAAACCAGGATGTCTTTTACTTCTCAACGAAAATCCCCAGAGGCATACCATTCTTGATTGAACTTACCACAGTGGTTGGAAATCCTGGTGTGAAATGTGCAGCCAAGACTCCCAGCCCTGAAATGTCAGGTCTTCTCTTCGAGGCCATTGAGACCCTTCTGCGGGGTTAATTCTTTTTTAATCATATGCTCTTCTTTTTTATTTTAGATTTTGTGTTTATATGTTGTTTTTCTTAGCGTCTGCAATAGGTGCGTTAAGCTGGTGTGTTGTAACTTCTTTATTCTTAAAGAATCACCCAGTGAGTGACCTTTTCTGCTGTCCCAACCTGTATCGCCATTTTGCCAAATGGGGGGTTTTGAGAACCAAAATATTGTTTGTAGTCTCTGTGGGCGGCTTTTTGATAAAGGTTCGATGGCTTGTAAGTTTTTGTTTTCTTTGTATAATCTTACTTGGTGCCGTTAGTATCTTGCATTTTTCACTTGTATTCTTATTTTATACAACTCTATTTTAGTTTTAATACTAATAAATTAGCATAGTAAACATTGTTGGACTTTGTGTCTAGTGCCATATTGTCCTGATCTTAATTGTTAAATGAATGGATGAAAGTGAAACGCTATGGGATGAAGTAACAACTTAAGTATGACTAGTGATATCCGCCTCCTCCACAATGCAGATTTGTGATCTCAACAATGATGTTTTAGTTCATTTCTTGTTGTATCGAAAAATGAAAGTATGACTCGTGATGTATGCTTAATTTAACCCGGTTGCCATATTGGTAAAAGGAGCCTGAAACCTTTTTTTTTTCTTCCCAATTTGTATTCATTAAATTATGTCTTCAATAAATTTTCTTTTTGACCAGGTTCTCTAGATTTATTAATTATTATAATGTGTATAACATGTCTGTTTGAGTTTTAATAGCAAGCCTAAAGTACATATATCTGATATGTAACATGAAATTTGTAGGTATTATTTCCAAGTTATGAATAATTTCTTAAAATTGAGGAAAACAAATTATTATGTCTGTTTACCAATTAGTAACTCCATTCAGAGATTGTGTCAGCCAATCAAATTACTGCCAAAAATAATATTCTTCTGGTTTTTAATATAAGACCTATTTAACTAATTTGATTAGAGTAAGGAAGTTAGGTAAGTTAGTGATATATTTTTCTTAGAACACCATAATCATCTTTCTTAATATCACTCTTCCCTGTTTTACTTGATTATGCTTGAGGGAGTATTAACATGGATAATTTAGAAAAAATTGATAAATATAAAAAAATATGTCTTATATTTAGGATTAAAATCAATTCAATAATTAAGTTTTATATTAAGAACCGATGGAGTATGTCTTAACTTTGTTAACAGAAAAAGGTAAGGACCAAAGTTGGTTTACTGGCAAAGTTCTGTATGATGTCTATAATTAGGGTATTAAATTTCATACAACATAAGAAAGTTTTAAAGTAAAAAACGATTTATCACTGAATGATTAAATTAGAAGTCAGAAGAGCTAGAATCAAGTTTTTATAACCATAAAAAAAAAGAAGCAAAGTTTTACTCGTCGTCTAAAAGAAGTGTTTTTTTTTTAATACCTCAATAATCAACTTTTAACCATCTCGCAATATATTCAGGACATACACATTTAAAAAAAAGTGCCTAACATGAATGATACTCTGAGAATCCTTGTTTGAGGTCCTGTAATCAATGTTTTAAAAGTTGACTTGGATGTCAAAGCAGAAAAGTCAGCAAGTCATGATTCAAATGTTCGGATCGGTAACATAATAATTGAGAAAAAATTAATAAAAATAATCATATGTACATAATATATATATAACAAATTTATGATGAGTCTAATTATTAACCTAGTAAGATTACAATATAAGAAAGTTTTAAAGTCAAAAATTAAAATAAAGATACATTAAAAATATTATAAACTTTTGATAGCTTTTTTCTTTCATTTTGTTATAATGATAACCTCTGTTTCTATTTTTTACAAATATAAATTTTTGAATAAAATTAATTTATAACAGAGTATAAATAATAAATAGTCAATAACTATAATAGAAATTGTAATGAAAAGACGTGCATTTGTCAATGTTTTTGCTGTAATCAATAACCTATCTCTAAACATCCATTAAAAAATAGATGTGCAAATTGGAAAAGAATACTTTATGCTCTGTATCCTTTCAAGGTGTAAATGTTTTCATATCCAAAGACAACCATTTTTTTGTTCGTTGGATATTACCTCTCATGTGATATCTTTCATCTATCAACACTAGCTGTCTGATTCTATTTATAAGACAGAAAAAAGATATTTTTTTATCTTATTTATAAAGTATTAAAAAAATTTTCTCGTATAAATGTATAATTTTTATCTCTCATTTATTATTATGTTGACTTTATTCACATGAGGTATAATATCTATTAAATAAGAATAAAGTTAAAAAGTTATTAAATTTTAAATAAGAGTTAAGAAAATTTAATATTTTTTTTATTTGTGTGAAACATATTGGAAATGCTTTATAAACAGGATTAATGGAATATTTTACTCTTAGGCAATTCCAAACTCCCCTTACTTTCTTTACTTTTCGGCTTCACGTCTTGAACTTTTGATGTTGTTGCCGGATGATTTTCAAGTGACTCCTCTTTCTTTTCATATTATTTGTTTCTTTCTCCTCTTCTCATTCCTATCCTCTTCTGCTTTTAATTTCTTTCCTGCCTTTATATCTCTTTAGTCGCGTCTCTCTTCTTTTGCCACTTCCTTTCTTTTTAAGTTGTTAACTCACCCTCAATTTTAACCCGACCAGTTCTTTAAAACTTGTTTCAGTTCTTGGCTCAACTTTGGCTTCTGACTCAAAAGCTGGTTCAGGATGGCTCAACCCCAACTTAACTCCTCAAACAGTCCAAATGTTTGAAACAAGTTGCAAAGTTTTCCAGCCGATAGTTTGACCGGTCCGAGTTTTAAAATGCTACCAGTAATGAGACTAGCTTAGAGATGGTTGGAGTGAAAGTAGAGTGTGAATTAAGGATTGTGATCTAGACCTATTTGCCAAATAAAAAAAGGAAAAAGAATCAACAAGTTGTTGCTATGGGAAATATAAGATCGAATTCCAAAAAGCTTATTTGTTGGAAAATATGGCGTTCTTTATGCTCTAAGGCTCCAAAGAGACACTCCTGATCCAATTTAAAGGGAGAAAAAGAAAATAATTAATCAAACATTTACATATACATAATATGGCAAAATAGCAAAACTTTTTGAAGGCATTATTTCCTTATTAACTTTCATTTGTTGGATATTATCTTTTTGTCATTCCTTCTCTTTTTAATTATTAAATATTTCTTCGTTTTCTTGAAAATTAGACAGGCAGATTTTAAAAAAATCACTGTGTGGTTCTAAAAAGGAAATGTAATCACTGAAATAAATGAAAACAACAATAAAATTGATATTTTATTTTGCTCACGGGTCGGGTTATATACCCACGGTAAAATCTTTTCGCCCCGCTCAGGATCCGCTGATTCATTTCTGAAATTGTATTTGTAGGATCATCAATCAGAGCAGACTCCAAAAGCACGACTCAGTGTTTAACGCCAACGTTCGAGGCAAAAATGGAGACGCTGGCAAACGTATTTTCGGTGTTAGAACTGGACGCCGATGATAGTGAAGTGTCCAACTCTGTTGCTTCTGCAGCCACTGGAAGCACCAGCTCCTCAGGTTTCTGCCCCCAAAATTTTCACTGATTTTGCGTACCCCACTTCTTTTTCACTTTCTTGAAATCCCACGTTGCACTTCCTTTATTAGGGTTTGGATTCAACTATGATATTCTTTTTAAATGAATCTAAAAGAAAGTGGGTTCTTTTAGATTGCTGGTGTTAGCTTTTGAGTAATTACCAAATGCATTAGGTAATGCCAATTTGAATTGTGAGAATTGGGTTTACTGTTGACTGAAATACTTTTGGGTTTGTTAGTTTATGTGAATATTTATTACAGTTGAAAGATTCGTGTTCTTGAGGAAATTGGGCTTCATAATTATGATAAACATACAATAGCCGTTGAGGCAATTGCTAATCGGCGGGACTGCTTGTGTTGATTAACTGATGTCTGGAATGTAGTTTAAGAGTGTATATAATAGTCATTGATTGTTAGGCTAAGGTACAAGTGATACGGATTCCTCTAGGGACCTGAAAAATACAAAATAAAATGGGTTTGAAAATAATAAAGGTTGATCAGAACTTGTCTCTAGATCCTTAGCTATAAAAAGGCTCTACAAAGAGTTGATTAGACTCTTGCAACCTAACCTTATTCTATCTCGAATACAAGAAAACAAAAGTCAATACTTGTCAAAGGAAATTCTCATTCATAAGTTCATATCACTAAATAACTTAACTGGACACAACTGGGTTTTTAAATAGACAAAATTTCTAATTCTAAATTAGTCTAAATTTTTTTTGAAAGATATGTTTTAAAATCTAAATTTCAAATCAAGAATAGAATAACAATAATATCCTTGAAATCCGTATTTGGAAACTCATATATCTAAAATAATATCCACACATCAAATCTTCCTAATAATCTACTAAAAAATGACTATTTTAAATAATACGTAGAAAATAAAAATAAAATGAATCAATTGAAAGCCCTCTTATGCAAGATCTTTTATTTGTCTTCTTCCACATGCGCTTCTTGGAACTTGAATGCCATACAAGATACCTGACCGAATTACCCCCTAGATTTCTATCACAAAGGGACTGTAAATGTTTAATGTGGCTTCAGAGGACGTATTTATATATTTCGAAGACCAGGGTCAATTCAAGATCTTGAAATTCCACTGATCCGGTCATTATTCTTGGGTATCCTCTTTTGGTTTAATTATGGCAACAAACTGTTATTATGACATATAATATTATTGTTGTTTAGTGACTATTTCCTGCTGTTATTTTGTAGCCGCTCATACTGATATCTGTTATAGTCAATTGGGAGTTCTCCATGTTGTTATTGTACTGTGTTGTCTTAAAAATTAAAAAGCAAATAATTCTTAGTTGAAAAACACTAGTTCTTTTTTCTTTCCTCAAATGGATAACATACACTTTCTTGAGGCAGGTAGATCTGAGAAGAGAGTTGATGGTTCTTCTAACACTTCATTGGTTAAACATGAGAAACAAACCCAACAAGGCATTATGCCTCCTTCAAGTGAATACAGGTTGCCTCTTGTTTGGATTGACTTAGAAATGACTGGTAAGGATGTGGAATATGCTTATATCTACTTTAGTAAACATTTTTTCCCCATTTTTACTTCTCTCTTTCTGTTTAGTTGGTGTGTTTTACAAACCTCAAGCACTGTGAAATAATAAAGCTTTTATATCTGAAAAGCATGGTACTTCTCTTTGTAATACTTCTGTATTAGATTAGCAAAATTCTGTAACCTGGGTCTGCATCTATGTGGAATTAGACTGAATACAAAAGATCCTTCTTCTTAGAAATTAAATCAGTTGAAAGGAAAAAGACACTAGAAATATCCTCTGCTATGGTGGCTTATTGTCAACTTGTTCTGTCTTTTGATTTAATACTAGAAATTGCCTGCTGTGCTGCTAACCAATTCAAGGGTTTTTTTGCCTAGGTGATTTAAATAAACAGTTTATGATCTTAAGTTGTTTTTTTCTTAAATAAAGATAACTTGACCATGCACTCAGTCAGGACATGATGCCCTAGGATGAATCAACACCTAAAATTGAGGAATAATTTCATTGCTGATTTCTAGATTCCTCAACCTAATATACTGAGATGTTGCCTTGGGTGGAGCATGGCACTGGCATGTCAGCGCTTTATTGCACATGGGCTATTTCAATACCTTTAGATGTACATCTCATAAGAGAATGGATTGACCAACAGTGTATAATAGGGAAGGATAAGATGTGATCTTATCAGTCTCTAAGCCTATTCCTAAAAGAGAAGAAATGCATAACCAAGTAACCACCCATCACTTGGGAGGAGGCTACCTGGAGAAATCTAATTATACCTCGTGTTAACTGAACAGCACTAATTACTTTCTGTAAATGATAGAATTCTCCAACTCTGATCTTATTTCTGACTGTAATTACAGTCTTAATAGTGAAGAAAAAGGGCAGGTATTACAATAGTAGAACTGAAATCTTGTCATAAAACAGAAAAAGAGAGATAAAAAATGGCAGTCTTTTCCAGAGGCTGAGACCTCTCCCAGTGGCCTTCTGGAGATATTGCATAGTGCCTTAGCCTTCCACGGACCGTCTTATCCCAAGTATTATCTATTTTACCCCTGAACCACCTTCTCACACTTGTATGGGCCTGTATATTCTTTCTCCTCGCATAAGACTTGAACCCCTCTAGAACTTCCTTGGGAGTTGCGTCTACTTTCCTCTTAAAACATAAATGTTGCCCCACAAACTATTGGTTCCCTCAAATTGTAGCTTATATTCCTTAAAGATGCTTCAAATGTCTACAAACACTATATGCTGCCAAAAATCCTGCTCTTTTCATCCTTCACCTTACCCCTTCAAAATGCAAGTATATATGCTTCCAACTTCTTACCATTCACCCAGCACTCAAATAATGCCAAACTTTTTTATTCATGAAATTGGCTGAGATTAATTCGTTCTCAACCCTTCAAACATTTACTGAATCATGGTAGTGGGATAAGGCTTGTTATGGCTATTGTTTTTGGTATTCTATAAGTTCAGCTGAGGCAACAAACCTACCCAACTAACCTAGATCCTTGGATATCATTACTACTAACAGATATTTAAATCTAAATCTATGAACTCTGAACCAGAACGGAAAAAACATGACCTTGTATATACATGATTAATAAGTATGTGAGGAAAAACAGAAAACAGAAATATATAAAGGTGGAGAGGATCTTGGAGACATCACTAGTGATATGATTTCCAACAATTCAAACATTTCAAGCTGCAGTTTGATCGAAACAAAGGTGGGTGGTCAGCTTCAAACTATGAAACTAATCACATGATGTTACATAAGTCTATAGCCTTATGTTCCTCTCTAACTGAAATTTCTTTATTGTATTTATTTTGTCATTTTGTATATTTTTCCTGTCAGAATATGCTTTGAATAATTGCCTTTCTTGTATCGCAATAGAAAAGTTAGGAACCCGCTTGTGACATAGGGTTGAGGACCCTCTCCTTGTTGGCCTAATTTTCAAAGGAACTCTCATCCTAGTATTCTTTTGTTGCCTATCGCATCACTACCTGTCTTCAACTTAAGTTGAAATATAGCCTGATGATACTCTTTGTTATCCAATCCTTTTGTACCTGAATAGGTTTGAATATTGAAGTGGATCGCATACTGGAGATTGCTTGTATAATAACAGATGGAAATTTAACGAAAACATTAGAGGTATTTTTGATACTTGATTGTACATGATATGTATGTGTTGTTTTTTGCTAACTTTTCTTATCTGACAACTGTATTTTTCATGAGAATGTGCTCACTTCTGGTTCCAGCCACTAATCTTCTTGATTTAAACTTTCCTATCTTCTGAAAATCTTTGTAAGATAAAGTTGCTTATTTCGTGACTTAAGGGATTGCGTATCAATGTGTGTTCTCTGATTTGTTATAATAAAGCTTGTAATTAATATCAAACAAGGTTTGAGCTTGTCATCTTAGGCTTCGACATCTTTGAAGGGGTGAATAACTGTGCCATTAGACCTAATGGTAATCTAATTGACAGAATCCATAGATGTTGTCTTCTTATGAGGAGTGGCTGAAACCTTTTTCTTTCTGTAAATCTTTCTTGGAGAGACATAAGGTGGCAGTCTCATTTAATTAAATCATGCGTATTTGTTATGTGTAAGGAAAGAGTCATTCCATGGTGAATGATCATGTTGGAACATATCATGAATGATAAATATCTGCCAATTTAGGGTCCTGATTTGGTCATCCATCAAACTAAGGAGTGTTTGGATAAGATGGGAGAATGGTGTCAAAGTCATCATGCAGCCAGTGGTAAGTTCTACATGCAATATCTGGGTCCTTTTACTTCCTCTCCCTATCTCTCTCTCTGGTTTTTGTTTTGCTGAATATGCTTGATGGATTTCTACTAATGGTTTTTAATATTTATTAAGGGTTAACTAAGAAGGTTCTGCAAAGTACTATTAGTGAAAGAGAAGCTGAAAAGCAGGTTTGTTGTTATATTATATCCTGTAATTTGCTATCTGTTCATGAAAACTTGTTTACTTGTCATATTGAATGGAAATTATATTTCCAGTTAGCCAATGACCATGAAAGAACATGCTTCTTCTCTTGTATATAGATGGAATAGTCAAGCTAATCCGTCAGGTGATTGTTAGGTCCCAAACATTTCTTTCTGGCATAATTGCATAATAGCATGGAGTCAATGTTATTATTTGAAGGGCAAAATAACCTTTTATTCACCCATAATTAATTCATACTATTTTTAAGTAATCAATAAAATGCTGGAGTTTTTATTAAAAAGGAGTGATGGTACATGCAGTGAAAATGGTTGTGCCTGGGGTGGTCCGCATTGTGATTAGAACTAAAAACATTATGTGAATTAAATGAAGCTTCACTTGAAAGTGAAGTTTCAACTCATTGTGGACGTCAAATTCCAATTTTTTGCTCAAATTGAGAGAATGACTGATCTACAGCGAAATAAATTCTGCACTTATCCATGGTCCATTGAGTTGGCCATTTATAAAGCTTTGCTTGCTGGCATTTAACATCTCATATATCAAGCCAATTATATTAGTGCCAAGTCCTATGGGGTTATTGGTTGTATTTCTTTTATTGGTGCTAGACTTGCACTAAAGGCATCTGAAAAGCTATATCCTTTTTCTTGTTAATTCATTTAGAAGATGACAAATTTAAATTTATACTTGGATGTTCTTATTGCGATTGCAATAATCAATTCTTTCTTCCACTTTTTCCTTTTTTACTTAATCATAAAATTTTGTGATATCTTGTACCACTGCAGGTTATTGAATTTGTGAAAAGAAATATTGGTTCACATACACCTCATCTAGCAGGAAATTCGATATATGTGGATCTTCTGTTTCTAAAGGTACTCTGTTTCTGACATCTTTAAAGTAGATGGTGATTAGTTTGGGTTGATGTTAATGTTCAAATATATTAATTGTACTGAGTAATTTATAATTATAATAATTAGTAGTTGTAGTATTATTCTGTGTATATAAATCATGCATTTTACTGAAAATATTTCTCACACACTTTGACATATAAGAAATAACTTATTGAACTTTTGCCTTCAACTCAATCATGATTCTTTTAGTATAATAGTATAATGTGGTTGTGCTATAAAGTTGTTAGTCATCTTCCATTTTATCCTATTGTTCTTATGTTTTACTGCTGTGTCACCTGGTGTTAACCTTATCCTTTTACGCAGAAATATATGCCAGAATTAGCTGCTCTCTTCTCTCATGTGCTGGTTGATGTTAGTAGCGTTAAAGCACTCTGCATTCGCTGGTATCCAAAGGGTGAGAATTTATCCTATTATTGTAAATAATGGTGTTATTTTTTGTGGGGAAATAGCTGGTAACTCTGGTTAAACTTCTAATATCTTCTCTTGCCAAAATTGTTCGATTAAAATCGCCATACAGCTCCAGTATTTGTGATTACATTATTTGTTGGATTGGTCTATGCTATGAATATGGTTTTTTGTCCTTTTGGTTTTGGTTATGCAATTAGAGTAACTTTGGTTCAACCTAAATTTAACACTGAAGCGTTTAAAATGTTCTACATTTATCACAATAAACTAAAGCTGAAGAATTAGGGGTTAGCCCTTTTTTTTTTTTTTTTTTGGATGCGCATTTTTTTTTTCGGTGACAATTTTTTGTGTGTATTTTGATATGGTTGCTTGTAAGCTGCTTCTATAAAGGCGGATCATTTATATGCAGATCAGAGGAAAGCACCCACAAAGGAAAACAAACATAGAGCCATGGATGATATCAGAGAAAGCATTGAGGAACTCAGGTACTACAAGGCAAACATTTTTAAACCCAAGATTAGGAAGTGATACAAATTTGCAGATAAGAATTGGTGCTGACGAGTCTTAATGGGAGGATAAGTGTCAATCCTTCCTGGCACCAGCATTTGTTATGGAAGAATTAAGCACTAAGTTGTTTTGTAAAATTATACTCCTAATTGTAAAATCTCATTTGATCTATGATTTACTACCTCCGGTCTTAATTATAAGATTTCTTTTATAGTCTATAAATGAGATCTTATAAATAGGACCGGAAGTAGTGTATGGAAACCTGATAAAATATCAATTCCTTCTCACTGCAATCATGTAAATATATTGAATGGAGGAAAAGAAATGTATATTTTACATGATGATGCTTGAAGGAAATATATGATGGCAAGGAACTAGTAATTTTTTACTTACCAAGAATCTTTTCAGACTCACGTTGGGGAAAAACTATGAAGATATCGGATCTGTTTGGTTTTCTGTTTTCAAAACCTTTTTTTTTTTGGTTTCCAAAAACTCCGGGTCTCTTTGCCCCACAGCCCATATTTAAACATTACAAACTAGAGATGAAGGCTTGTTCGATTCTATTATACATTTTTATGCTTTTAGTCTTTAATGTTAATACTATTAGTTTTAATTAACAGAAAATGCTCACTAGGCAAATTTAAACGGTGACGCCTCTGATTTAATTTAAGATTTTAAACATGTTTTGTTAGCATTTAGTTGCAGTTTAAATTTGTTGAGTCACCCCCCCCCCCCGGGGGGAGGAACAAGGCCAAATGAGTTCATTAATAGTAAAAAGTATACAGATAACAATAAAGCGTAGAAGTAGCTACCTCTTTAAGAAGACTAGATATTTGATACCCGTGGCCTACACAAGCACAAGTATTGGAGAATGGAGAAATAAAAACGGAGGATGTCTTCAATGACCGTTGACTCGCATAAGGTTTTTTTTTTTTTGGGTTAATTAAGAATATCAGTTTTAAGATTAAGGATTAAAAATACGCTTTATAGATTTAAGGGACTAAACTGAAATTTAATATAAATATAGAGTTCGAATAGCTTATAATTAGTTTTTTAATTATGATTTACTAAATACGAAGTAAGCATATTAAAAAAGTTTTGTCTTGATTTATATGAAATATATTTATAAGTAATTTCAAATATGATGGCAAACAGGGTCATAGAGAATTGGGCATATATCATCGATGTTTCTTAAGAAGTGATTTATTAAGAATATGTAATTAATCATTTAAGGTTGGTATTTTTAAAGTATCATAGAATGCTGAACTGTACTATATTTAGTGATAGATTAAGAGAATTATCTACTATATTTAGAGGTAAAAAAAGTATTATTAATGCGAGTCTCTAATATACTCCTATAAAAGGTAAAATGAGTTGTATTATTCACAATCTTTATATTGAATAATAATTAGTTTTTTCAGAACAAACTATATGATTTTTTTTTTAATTTTGAGGAGAAAATCTGATTTTGTTTTTGAAGAAAAAAAGGAAAAATTAATTTTTAGGGACTCAGTTGCATCAAAATAAAGTGGAGGGACTGATTGATAATCAAGTTAAAATTGTAGGAAACAATTTAATTTTTTATTTTTTATTTCCAAAAACAAAAAGAAACCAAACAGAAGCACCGCGCGTTTCGTTCCAGTTCATTCTGGTTTGACAGTTTGGTGAGAAAAACTTCCAACTCGAGCGTCGAGGCTGGAGTGTCTTATGATCTGATTTCTCACATTATTTCCATTTCAAGTTTATATAATCTACAACCATATCAGAACGCCTCGTTCCCGCACTTTCTGTGTCCTTTTCGATGTGATTCTCATCTCGAGGTGACCGATTTCTCTCTTCTCAACCTGGGTTGAGATAAGTCATAGGACACAAATTTCATAGAAAGTGAGCTTCCCCAAAACACTTTTCTTTTCTTTTCCCCCCGTTTTTGGGTCTTTCTTCTTTAGTGCTTCATGCTTGACAAGGTGCTGTTGATACAGAGCTTGACCGAAAGGACATGGTGAGTTCTTGAAGGAAGTGAATGTGATTGGGTTGTTTCTTTTTCTTTTTTTTTTCAATTTACCCAGATATATTATCGACTTGAATGTTTGTTTGATCAGAATTTCCTAGCGGGGGCCTTCAAGCCGCCGTGTAAAATCTCAATCTCATTGGCTGATGGAGGAGCTCGCAAGAAGGTATGATATTTTCTATCAATTCCAATTCGCCATGATTTTTAGCTGAACTTCTAACATTGTGATCTGTGAGGTTTCTTTAGACATTCAAATCGAATCAATGGGTCAAAAGCATCAACTTAACAGTAATTCTTGAAAAAGTTACTCATTATTGATCCTTTGGGGCCTAAATCACCTGGTTTGAGTTCTCTTCATTTGCAACAAAAAATAAATAAAAAAAATTGACATCGTCTTCTGGGCGCAATAATTTAAGTCCTTGCTCTTGGGAGAATCTCTAGAGACAGGTCATCACAGGCTAGGCCTATGTGCCCTGTAATGTAACTTCAAATTCTCTATGCCTCCAAATCCTTGCAGGCGTATATAAGAGGCCCTAATGTGATCGACACATCACAAGAAAGTAATGTTAAATGCGGTCTGTCAAACCAACTAGTGCCTAATTAACAATATATTTGAACCAGGCTAAATTATATATGCTTGAAAGCTGAAATGGCTTGCCAAAGTCAGTGACTTCGACTCCTCTAACTTCTGTATCTCTAGGTTTCTTTTCTTTTCTTTTTTCCCCATTCTTTTTCTTTATTCTTTTTAAATATTTTTGGTTGCACCTGTTCTGTTTCTATCTTTTTCCTTATTTCTACTTGGCGAGAAGAGTTTTTAGCTTCCACACAGTTGGGAAAGATACTATCTATATTCAATTTTGTTCAAAAACTTCAAAAAATTCACATATAAGTTTTCCCTTTCTCGCCTTTCTGATTTTAGGTTCCGCTGAAGAAGGAAAATGGGCAGTCAGTCATGGTTCCTCTCTTTCACAGTCAGGAGAATATAGTTGGAGAGGTACCTTACATGCCATTCTCAACAATTTTGCTTTTCTTGCAACCGCATTTAGTGCTCAGTGGAATTTACTTGGGTGAATGTGGCAATTGGAACTCATTTGATTTGACTTTGGCTACAGGTTATTATAGAACCTTTGTATGGGAAGAAGGTGGAACATAATGGTGTTAAAATTGAGCTGCTTGGTCAAATAGGTTTGCTTCCTTTTACTTCCCTGATTGAGGATAGTAATCTGTACATTGAATAAGCATTTCCATGGATATTAATCCTGTAACTGCATTTCAGCTAATTTGCCTTTCTTTGTAAATTTAATGAAATGATTAAATTGTTTAGGCTTGACCTAAATCTTTTAGGATTGTAAATTAGTGGTTGAACTACATACAATATTACTTTCAAAATATTTAATTCTTGAATTTTGATTTCTGAAATTATCCTTCTATGCTGGAATTTTTTTAAATATATTATAGAATCCTTCCTTGATGTCGTGCCTATAACCTGGACTTTACTTCAGTACTTGGTAATATTTTGTATTTATTATGATGCTTCATTTCTCTGACTTGCAGAGTTGTATTTTGATAGAGGCAACTTCTATGATTTCACATCACTCGGTAAGTTGATACTTTTTGTGGCGTAGGTCTTTTCCTTCTTCCCTCTTTATGATAGACTTGCATACATTAAATGTTTGATTTCTTTTTTGTCATATCTCTTGTACCCATCTGCTAGGGACCAACGTTATCCTTTTCACCTTTTACTTTTTACAATTGGTATGATTGTTCCACACAATCTTTAATTTCAGTGCGTGAGCTTGATGTTCCTGGGGATTTATACGAAAGGAAAACATATCCATTTGAGTTCTCTACGGTTGAGATGCCATATGAATCATACAACGGAGTCAACATAAGGCTCAGGTACGATATTTACCCAACTTCTTTGGTAATGATGAATTTTTGTAAATCTCATTCTCATTTTCTCTTTATTACCTTCACGGTGCTGTAACTTTGTTTTCTCGTCAGAAGAGAATCATGCTCAATTGAAGAAGTGCATGATAGCTATTTTAAACTTTTATGGATGTATGGTATGGGCTTGTTGGTGAAGTGATAGAGATTCCCAGTGCAAGTGAAATGATTTTAATCAAGCTCTGATTGTTCGTTTATGTTCTTATACGTGCATGTTACTCCTAACTAAATCCTTTGTGTTACTTAATCCTGTAATGTTCCTTTTGCAATCACATAGTGGTCCACTTCAATTTATTGAAACTTTTGACAAGACAAATCTTGGGATTGCTGCAGGTATAATAGGATGGATGAGCCCTATGGCAATACACTGTCTCACACATTTCTATTGCTTTTAAGATAAAATCTAGTGAATATGAGAAACTGGACAGTACAAACACGTTTCTACTTAATAGGTTTATCTTATGATAGTCAGAAATAAGCAGAAGTGAAACTACGCTTTCCTTTATAATTATGGCAGAATCTAGCAAGGTTCAAGAACACGTTAAAAGAACCACTTCACCAGAATGCTCAAGTCATTAAGCAACTTATAATTTTGTGACTAATTTCTGGGTGCATGTAATTGGTTACACATTTCTACTATTAGCTGACAGAGCTAACTTTACTTCTCTTCTAGTTTTTGTGATAGTCTAAAAGGCCAATTTAGTGAAACTTCCGTTATTATATGATTAGATAAAACATTCCACACTATGGGAGGACTAAGCTGGATGTTTATAGAATGATATAGTTGATCATGAATCATAAATTAAGCTAAACTTTGGATAACTAGTTACAAAATTGTAGTTTATGAAGAGTTCTTTATTCTTTGCTCATCAACTTTTCTGTAAATATTTGTTTAAGGTGTTTGGATGAGGCAAAACCATAGTTTGAAGAATAGTTTCTGGAGAGAATAGATTTTGAAAGAATAGATTTTCTGAAAAAGTGATTATGATAAAGTGAGAGTGTTTGAATAATTATTATCAGAAGTGCTTTTTGATATGTAGAAATTACTAAAAAGGACATAAGTTTAAATGATAATTACATGTAAGATATATTTCATAATATATGTTTATTTGAAGTAATAAATTTGTTTATAATATATATTTTGGCAACATAATAAATAAGACATAAATAATATAAATAATAAAAAATTAATGTGTATATATATTAATAAAATAATTAAATATGTTTTTAGAAAAATGATTTATTTTGCCAAAAAAACATTATTATTTCTTAAAAATTTTAAAGGTAAAAACCCATAATTTTTTTCTTCACAAAATTAAATAACCACACAAAAAAATTTCATATTAATTGTCTTAATAATAGAGGTTACAATGAAATATATTTGTCCAAGTAGTTTTTTTTAACAACACATTACATTATCTGAAAAGAAAAAGAAAATAAAAAGGATATGACTATTCTTGTATATAGTGAACAATTTGATCTTTTATGGAGTTACGAAGCCAAGCCATGTGAAATGAAGATTCTATTAATGAAGGTATTAAGACCTTGTCTACATATTAACTCCAATTAGATTTTACATTAATGACTGGAATAATAATCTTATATTTAAGACCAATATTAACTCTCCAATTAGGTCCTACATTAAAGAGCGGAATAATAAATTTATTAATTTTTTTTGCCAACATAATAAATAATGTATAAAAACATATATTAATTACTATATCCAATTCTAAATGTAAGAGTTAGTTGACTAATTTGAGTAGATTAAAAAAAAAAAATTAAGTTAGTTATTTGTAATAAATAAGTATTGCCTTTCCTATAATATCCCTATTAATCAAGTTTATTAGTTATAACTTGAAAAACGATAGACAAATATGAGAAATAAAATAGATTGGGGTTTTATATTTAGGACCAAATAAAAATCAAATGAGGTCTTATATTAAAGACAGGATGTAGTAATTGTTAATATGTGTATATATAATTGTAAAATATAAGATTATGTTTTTAGAAAAATAAATAATTGTTTTCAACAAAAAAAAAATTAGTGTAGGGGGTGGGGGGAGAACCACTTAAAAAGCAAAAATTTTTTGCTCATTACAAAACCTTGGTTTTGATAAGCAAACCATGGTTTCAAAAAATTGATGGGTGTTTGGGTAATTTTTTCCCAAACCATGGTTTGGGCAATCACCCAAACACCCCCCAAACATGTAGCCTATTGTCTGGGCTTCTTTTCCTTGTCTTGGCAAAAAGCCAAAAGGAAGGGACAACCTTAATACTTATAATGGGTTAGGGGTTTCAAGAAGTTATGATGTTGCAGTTTAATAAACCAATCAAAGGTTAAAGAGATGAAGATAACCAGAGAAATGAACTGCTATTTATTCATTTATTTCAAAACATGCAGGTATGTTTTGAAGGTGACAATTAGTCGAAATTTTGTCCCCAACATTGTGGAGTACCTGGATTTTGTGGTAAGCAGTTTTGTGCCTGTACGTAGAGAAGAATTATGCTTTATGGTCAGGATTGGTAGAGTCCCTTCTATGTAATTGTCTCTTTTATTCTCATGAATTTCATTGCTTTGCTTGTATTTATTTGTGATGTCTTTTGTTCATGACTGTTTATTTCAATAATCTATATCTATATATTTATATACTAATAATAGCATCTCTAGTAAACTGCACTATTCACAAGCCATAATAATGTGGCTTGCTTCCTTAGCTTTCTCCAATGCATGGACCTGAAATCTAGTTGTCAAAAGAAAACAACAGTACGAGCTACACCACACTTTTCTGTCATGATTTAATTATTCATTACTTCATGCAATTTCATCATCTTTATTGGCCTTGTATAATTCTAATATCCTGCATCTTGCTTCGTGTTCCTTTGACAAGATTATATATTCTGTTGTTGGAGTAAGTACTATTGAAATTTCTTTTTCATATGTGCGCGTTCAGATTATTGCAGACGTATATGCCAAGTAACGCACCTTTTACTTTGATTCTTCATCAGGTTCGCAACTATAGTCCACCTCCGGCAATCAATAATAGTATTAAGGTTAGGATAATAAAATTATCTACTCATGTATATCTTTAGTAGCCAAATCTTATACGTATTTAACAATGTCAGATTTTTACTTATGCCTAAAATTAACAGCGAACTGGGAATCAGCCTTCCCCTACAGCGAAACACCCACCCCCCCCCCCCCCAAAAAAATTGAAAATAATGGACTGGGAAGATTTTTTGCCCATGTCCTGAAACTGCTTGAAGTGGCATTTTCAATTAGAATTGCTTGTCTCAGAACTTCTTGAAATTAGTAGCAGCTCTATCTTTTATGTCCCGGTGTCCAATTCCATTTGCATGATACCCTTTAAGAATGCATCATAAATTTTGGTTTGGGTGCTTTCTTGAAATGATCTGTTAATGCTATTCTTATATAATATATCCACTTGGACCGATTTTCATTTTCTTCGTCCTCACCTGTCCTAGAAGGGAATTTGTGGACAGTGCTGCGGCTTTGTGTTTTTCTAAATTATAATTAGAGCACAAGTTAATGTCTTTGATATCCTCTGCAGGAAAAGTGCTGTTTCTTAATGTTGATTTTATTTTTCTTCATTTTGATGCTTCATTCAGATGGAAGTAGGAATTGAAGACTGCCTGCACATAGAGTTTGAATACAGTAAAAGCAAGTAAGAATTAATTTACCCCTCATAAATGCCAGGTTTCAATGTTCTCATGATGCTAGTTGGAGTTGACTCCGATTTTTTGTAATTCAAAAAATGACAGGTACCACTTGAAGGACGTTATCATTGGCAAAATATATTTTCTGCTGGTGAGAATCAAAATAAAAAACATGGAGCTTGAGATAAGGCGTAGAGAGTCAACTGGATCAGGGACCAATACTTATGTGGAAACTGAGACCCTTGCAAAATTTGAATTGATGGATGGTGCTCCTGTCCGAGGTATGCATATTTAGACTTACAGTTTTTCCATAAAAAAAGTAATATTCATATTGTATTGATATGCACGATGCTTGGGATGAAAAACATGAACCCTGGATATGATATGTCTCCACCACTGCTTATCATGAGATTTGCATATATGGACAAGGCACATGCTAGTTACCTTATCTTGAACCTTCGTATTCTGAAAAAATTGGGACGACAAAGACTAAATTTCTGAATCTCAATCATGAAAGTTATGATAATATGTTGAGAAGTTTAGAGGCCCACCAGTGCTTGTAAGGGGCTTGAAATGAATCAAGGTGCCCGTGTAACGTTCAAGTTCGACTTGTATAAATATTTTGTGAAAGTTCAATGAGTATTTATCATCAGTGGCCCTTAGGAATAAAAGATTTATGAATATGGTCCTCAGACATAATTCTCCCTATGTATATAGTCTGTGCATGTTTGTCTGTACCATGGACCAATCTGATCTTTTGTGCATGTTTGTCTGTACCATGGACCAATCTGATCTTTAATGTAATAACCTAATTGTCTAAACTTCATTTCTCATTATAACCTAAGGAATGCTCCTGAGGATAATTCTTTTTACAGGAGAATCAATTCCCATCAGGTTGTTCCTCAGTCCGTATGAGCTAACACCTACCTACCGCAACATCAATAATAAGTTCAGTGTAAAATATTTTCTGAATCTTGTTCTTGTGGATGACGAGGATCGAAGGTACTTTAAGCAACAAGAATTCCAACTGTATCGTCTGCTAGAAAACCCTTGAAACATGTTGAACCTGGGCTATCTCCGATATTGTAATGCTTGAATCCTGTCAATGCCATGCTGTTATTGAGTCAGATGCCTTCATACTGACGGCAGTTTTGTTGTGATTTGTTGGTCCTTTTGGTCTTGTAAAGGATGCTTGATACAAGAACTAGTTTTACTTGATAGTGTTCACCAGGATAGTATTACTTGATAGTGTTCATCAGGATAGGTTTGTTTTGAATGAATAATTTTGAGCACACTATAGCTCACCTTAATCTTAATTATAGTCTTTTGTATCACGAAAATTAGTTGGGTAAGAAAGAAATAAAAATTCTGAAGTTGTAATGTCACGAAGGATTTGCAAACATTGCACGTGAAACTAGTTCATTTACCATCCACCTCAGTGTAAGCTATCGCATGTTGCATTTGTAGTTTAATCCCATATACGATGAATTTGAATATTTGGAAGGTTTAATACTACTAATTAGCAATTTCTCCTTTTCTCTTCATTTCTCTACGAAACATTTAAATGCTTTTAAATTCACCTATAATACAATTTGCGAAGGCCGGCCATTGCATGTTTCAAGTTAAGCACTTCATACCAATTATTCAACTTACGCAGCCAAGTATAAAATGGGTCAAATTATAGTTTTAAAATTACTGATAAAAGTCACTTTAAATTTTATTAATTAAACAATGTAAACAAAACCAGCTCATTTGTCATTCTAAGAAAAAATGGTTCGCCAGCTATCTTGTCCATTGTTTCTAAACCCATCACAAACAAATATTGCAATTTCATTATAAGTTGTAACATTTACTACTAACATGCAAATTAAACTTGAGACTTCCAGAATCAAATACATCTGATTAATGTGCACATATTACGAGATTGTACATCTTAGATTAATGTGCGTATCACAAAAAATATTAGCTTGAAGTAGATTGAAGAACAAGCAGCCACTTGTAACAGGGATTACCAAACAATGATGAAGAATTGAAGATGCTTTCCATAACATTTAATTACAAAGAATCTGCCAAACAGGAAACAGCAACTAAGATACTATCACAAAAATACTAAGAAGCAGAAGGGTGGCTACGGGTGGTGGAACAACGGGAAATTACACAATTCAAACAATAATCAACTTCCAAGCATTAATCCGAATGCTCAGGTTCCGGTAAATGACCATGCACGGATCAATATCTTGATCCAAACAACTGTAATTGCATTCATGAAACACTTGGATGCTGAACGCCAGTGATCTCTCTCAAATGATTTAACTGGGGAAAGGCAAGCCGTTAAGATTCGCCTTCATGTCTCCTAGATGGAGCAAACATTGTCAACTCGGCTGCCTCAATCAATAACATCTGCGATTCTCGAAGATCATGAGCATTCCCATGAAATTGGACATTTTAAGTAGAATAATTGAAACGTGTTTCTACGTCAGAATCTTGGGTCGTGGCACCATAGAACCAGCTACAGAAAGGAGTACAAAGTACTTTGAAATACTCCGATGTCACCATTGATCTAATGCATTGCGAAGAAAGTAATTGCCTGATGTATCCTATTTTATTTAATTTGGACCTTACAATAACCTGCTCAGAGACTTGATGAGTAATTTTAAATTCCTTCTTGTAGCCTCGTCACCAGTGAAACCCAATATATCAGAGCTAATATTCTGCAACAATGCAACAAAAATGAGAACATAGTTTGCCAAATCATTTGTAATCAATTAAATTTATAAGTGGTTCCAAATTACAGCCTACCTCAATGTTCTTCAGGGTAAAAATGAGAGTGTAAATAGACTTGCGAATATGTTCAGTGTTCTCAGGGGTCATGATGGATGAATGTACCCTTCTGTGTAAAGATTGCATGACGTTAGTGGTCATAACATTTTCCATGCTAAACATGAGAGAGAATAAAGGTTTAGAATGAGCAACACTTCACTAGAAACTGAAGGCAGACACAGGTCAACATAGATGATGACCCAGTGCAGCGCGTGCTCCTCAACAGGACATAGACTAACAGGTTGACCTTACACCCCCCCCCCCCCAAAAAAAAAAAAAAAACACTAACAGGCTGCCCAACAACAGAACGATGATCAAGTCCAATAGCAGGGTCACAATAGCCCTCAAGTAAAGCCTATTCATACCTAGCGGACGAAAATTTTGGCCATGTTTGGAGAGCCACATCCCATTGGGGTTCGAATATGAACGAGTCAAAAGAGATGGTTGGCACAAAAAAAGAAAAAGAAGGGTAGTGGTTGTGGCACAAAATAATATAAAACAAACTATATGCAAGCCTTCTCATTTAGAAAGTTCTATGGACCTTTGCTCACCTTTTCTAGTATATATCAAGCTTTGTACAAGAACGATGCATTATTCTTTTTCATGGAAAAAACTGGTAAAAATACTCATGCACGAAAACGCACCATTTTTGGGAAGAAAAATATTAGTTTCCATTTTAAATCAGCAATCCTGTGCTATAAACCACTCTTACTAGCATGTATTTACAAGCAAGTGCGCTCACCAACGTAAAATCAAAGAAGAAGCCTAACCCAAATAAACCTTATTTTCTTATTCCACATCAACCTCATCCTTGGCCCCACCCCGTTCCCAAGTTTCTTCATTCAGGATCTATCCGAAGAATATGATGTTGACACAACAGTAGGTATCTTATGTGCCAGTAATAATGTGCTACAAGGGTGTGTATGCAGGCATGAAATAACAGATAAAAGTGCCCAGAGAGGTTTCTATTGTTAACCTCAAATCTTCAGAGGCTTGCGTAAGGCTTCGGGTCAAATTCTCGACCTCCTTCAACAGACCGGTCTCATGAACTTCAGCCAACAAAGGTTGAACATCATCAGCCATGGCTTTGATCTGAGACGTCACTAAATCAAAGCCAAATATACGGGATGAGAATGAGTAGCATAATAATTTCAAAATTAAGCAACATTTAGTCACAACAAAGAGAAAGTACAAAGATAACAGAAATGATGGTGCATCAAAAAGCTCCTCAGTTTACTCACACTATTAATTTGTCCACAATAACTACAGTGGATGCTGTAGCAAAAAACCCCATAGTTTACATATGTTGAATCAAGTCTACACAGAAGAAGATAAAATTTATAATTTTAAGTTTTAACTACACAATGATTCCTGCAGATTTTGACAGCAGGATATTTCCTTTGGAAGACCTACATAAACGTAATAATACATGAACATGAATTGTTAGCTGTCCAGCATGTGATCACATTCACATCTAAGAATGTCAAGCTCCAGTTGAGATCCTAATAACCCAATTAAAATTTTACGATTTGGCATTTTTTGGCAAACAAAGGGATGTTGTACAATAGCAATCATAAAAATAAAAACGGTGAATTTAAGAATTCCCATGCCATCCCTTCCAAGAAGACAAGACAGTTCTAAGGCATTTTCGTGCTCTGGTTCAACGTACAAATTTGCAAGACTTAATGTGGGGATAAGAACTTAACTAGTACACACATGCATCTGCAGATGCTGTTATTTATCATTATGCAAGAGTCATATTTGTAAGAAAAGAGAACAACACTAAAAGGGACAAAAACAGAGGATATGATATCACCTCTCAAGGCCTGAACAAAAGAAAAACAATAGGAAATGAACGACACCTCAACTATCATGACCATTCCAACCCCTTTAAAGATCCGCAAGGGACAATCCCCCTCTCCCCACCAATTAAAAAAAGTGAGAAATGCTGAGAGGGGAAAGCCCCCGCCTAAATGCGTGAACAAACCCAGCTCTCATCATAGACCAAACAGCCTGTTTCAAATCTGCCAAGCCGATTCCACAAAGCCAAAAGAGCATGATTATTTGTCTCTTAATTTCTGAAACATTTTTTTTTAATGAAAAAACTAATTTATTAACGAGAACAGAGCAATTCAATTCAAATAGGTACAAAATAGAGCAAAATGAATCCTCTCTCCAAACAAATTATACAAGCAATAAGTGATAAAACCTTATTGCAAATATTTGAGGCAAATCAGATTTATTATCACTATTAAGTACCATTACACAAACAAATAGCTTTGCATTAGAATGAGTCACCAAAAGACCTTAAACAAACAAAAAGAAAATGTGTTTGTACTGAGAACCTTTAGAATCCAAATCTTTCTATCAAGCAAAGAAGAAGAAACATGGAAAACAAATATTTCAGGCAAAAAAGCAAGATCATCAAGTCTATGATTCAAATCTCTAGAAATGAAAATTCCAAGAGGAATGCCTGTACTGTTAAAAGACACAGAAATTAGAGCATCAATAGTTACAATAATATAAGAAGATTACATCAGACCTTTATAAGAAGGGGTTTTGCTTCTTCAATAACAGAAGAAACTCTTTCAGCCAATGAATAGCTCTTAGCAATACCGATTTCCTCTACATCTCGTCCAAGGCGAGTGAATATCCCAACCAATGCATCCAAACTAACTCCTTCGTATCCCTTGATCCTTTCTCGATCACACACAATGAGACCTTCTTTGGGACATTCTGGGTGAAGAGGTCCAACAGAAGGTGCTGGAATCGGGTCCCGAGGAGTAATGTCAACCAGAGTTTCCATGAGAAGACCTGACTGGTTAACTTCAACCAGCGAATTTCGTGGTATGATTGTTTTGTCATCTTCAATCTACAAATTACAACTTTCAAGCTCCACAGAACATAGAATTCCAAATCCCAGCAAAATATCAACATTTTCATGTAAAAAAAAGGGCATGGTAACAAGATTATAAATTTATAAAATCACAATACTGAAACTCACCTCAGCGATTGCTTCAATACATTTTAAGGAAGGATTAACACGAATGACATTGCCAACAGTTGCGCCTCTGATCCTTACAGGTGTTCCAGTGCATATACCACACGCCTGAGCAAACTCAAAAACTGCTGTGTACTTCCTGAATTTGGACCGTATTTGGAAACCCCTCAACCAGACCAAACAAAGAGCAAGTAAAACTGAACCTGATACTAAAAGCAGTCCAACCCCACCTTCCCAGAAGCTCCTCCGACCAAACCCAAAATCACTTAATGGACGTAGTGCTTGCCTCCAAACAGCAAGAGGAAGGTCTAAAACAGGAGCCAGAGGATCCTTTGCTTCCGAAGTAGATGATGTTTCTCCAGGCCCTACATCAGCTGACATAGCTCTTATTCTGTTGATTCTTTTTTGAGATCTACATGGAAGATAAGGGACGCCGTTGGACGAATTCCCAGGTAGGGATATCAACGATGGAGGAAATGCAGTTGGCAATTTTAAGACATGGACTGGATAGTTTCCACCCATCTTTGACACAACCTCAGATAATATATTTATGCAACTATTATCTGTAGAAGCTACTTCTCAAAGTTGAATTGGATACGAGTCTACAGATGTGTGAGCTGTTGCAACATCCTCGTGGAGCTATAAATCCTAACCATAGAAACTATAATCAGCGTTAAATGCATGATGGATGGGAAAAAGACATGAAAAGGATTCAAAATGAAAAATATTGATAAGATCCACTTTGTTGGTTCTAACGGTCCATTGATTATAAATGAACAGTACGTTGAATGGAATAGGCCGAAAGAAATCAATAATCTACTAAAGGCTTGATTGGGGTGAACGTTTAGGTAAAAACCCATCCCACAGCCCTGTTTCAAAGCACTCCCGATTATGGCTCCATTTGGTAATCTTGAAGGAAATGGAAAATAATTCTTGCATGCAACTTGACGCTATCCTTGTTAACATTATTCAATAATACCAATATACCGATCCTAAATATAAGACTCATTTTGTAGTGCAATTTACACTACAAAAGGAATCTTATATTTAGGACGGGAGGGGTATTTTTTAAATGCTCCTTTCATTTCTAAATGTAGGAGCTAGTTGAGACTTGAGGGACTTGCTTGGGTCCTATAACAGCTAAATCTATTTTATCTTCCAAATTTATTATTTTTTACCCAAAATGATCGGTTTGCACACATGACAAAGAGTTTTCATTAATAGGAGTAATTTCCGGTATAAAAGATTGAAGGGAGTATTTCAAAGAAACTAACACATATTTTTCTATAGATAACTAATTTAATTAATTTTATAATCTCTAAAATTAGTTTTTATTTAGGGGCACCCAAAAATTTTATTCACTTAAAGAGTCACTTTTTTCATTCTATTCCCATTCCCCCAAGTGCTTTTTGAAGGTTCAGGTTGGATTAGTATCACTAAGATAATACTCCTCCGGTCCTTATTATAAGACCCAATTTGACTTTTTATTTGGTCCTAATTATAAGACCCAATCCATTTTGTCTCTTATATTTATACATTTTTTTCCAAGATAATCCTTCTAATAATGATAGTTTAGCCAATATACTTAATTAGCAAGGATATTTTAGGAATGACAACACTTATTTATTATAAATAACCAACTTAACTTACTTCCTTAATCTCCTCAAATAAGTCAATTGGGTCTTATAATTAGGACCGGAGGAGTACTAATAATTTCACCCTTAAAACCCATTTCATTAATGGCACTGTCGCATTTAACCAGTAGAGGGCGGAATGCTATCCAATTTCACATCGAACTTACAATCGGTAAATCAAGTTGTCTCTCCAGCCCACTGCACACTACACCATCCTACCCCGTTAATGACCGCCCTACGTCTCTCTTCAAGACTACCAATCAAGTCCTATAGACAGTATGACATGTTTACAGGTTCAGCACAAGCGTAAACAACCATGCCCTACACTACTCTCTAAGTAGTTGTCTTAGTAGCCTAGAAGAAAGAGCGTAGACCCACGCACAAAAGGAACCCCTTCAAATACTTTATCCCCTTCCCGCGAATATCATAGGAGAAATTAGAAGTTGAAGTGTACTTAGATCTTCAAATCAATGAGCTTCGTTTAGAAGTCGAATTCCGGCACCGTAATTTAAGAAGAATCTGAATTTGAGCATTTTAGCTATCCATCTATACTCAAATCATCAAGTAACATGAGAAATCGCTTCGCTTTTACATTAGCTCAAACAAGTTTCATACTTTAATTTAATTAGCATCCGATTATGATTCCAAAAACCAAACTTTCTCTTCGAAACAATTCATGTTGTCGAAGGAGCAAAATTCAAGCCACTAGTGTCAGTGTTTCCATTATGAAAAAGAATTATGAATAAAATGATGCTGAGAGTAAAATCAGAGAGAGTGATGAGGGAACACGTACTGCTAGTGAAAATGGACGGATGAAACAGATCCCCACGTAGCTGCTGAAAGAGTCATGGACGATTTGGCAGACGAAGAGAATCGGAGGCTGTTTTAGATTTCCTGAATCAATTTCATGTTAAAGATTGGCCCAGAAAGCCTTTTCCTCCTCATAGGCGTGCAGCCCAATGAGCCCAAATAAGATCCACAATTTCCATTAAACTTTATTTATGTTTTTGCCAACCAATCTTTCATCAACCAGGCTGTACGGTATTACCCCCGACCCCGAAAATGTTTTTAAACATGTAGTTTTTTGAGGAAAATAGAAATTTCACAGTGTTATATTACTACTATTATTTAAATTATATGAGTGTATGTGTCCATGAATATATATATATATAACATCCATTTTAAATAATGCATTTATAACTAAAACACATCAATCAAGAAAAATAGTTAATTAAATAATTATAATTTCAACTTTTTTTTAATTTTATCAATTATTAATTCTATTTATCAAAACTCATGCGCCCCTTGAGTTCATGGAAACTTCAAACCCCCAAGACCTCAAAAAGAAACTAAACTGGGAGCATTTTAGATTAAAAATTTTAGCTAAAAGTATGTATTTTGTTCTCTAACTTTATACTATTTTCGGTTATTATTATAAGAACTGGTTAACTAATTTAAGTAGATTAACAAAATTAGTTAAGTTAAATTTTTGTAATAGATATGTGTTGTCTTTCTTAAAATACCCTTACTAATCATACGTATTAGTTAATACCATTTAAAACTGTAAACATTTGATATATGCAACTACTTCAACATACCTACAACAAACATATAGTAATTAAACATTTAATTTAAGTTAGATATTTAGGATCAAATTGGATGTCAAACTAGTTTTATATTAAAGAATAGGGGTAGTATAATATGCATACAAAAAACATACACTAATTAAACTTGATTTTATTTTCATTTTGTCTTTATCACTAGTCACTTCTTCCTCTATATATAATTCCATATTTTTTGAGTTACAATAAAACCTCAAGAAAAGAAAATAATTATAAGTATATCTCAATGAGTAACTGTGATTTATAATCCTGAAACTTGCCATTGACACCACACTTTTTAATACTCCTTTGGTGTAAGTTAAAATTTGTTGGAGGGATTTGGTTTTTTATAAGATAACATTCACTTTTGTCTAAGTATTTAATGAATTTTTTTTCAATCTTACCGTCATATATTGTCTTTCCTCTTTAATTTATTTATTACATTTTTTATTTATTCTCTTTATTAATAAGGGCATATTAAAAAAAATTCATGCATGACATATTTTGTGTTTTAAATTGATTTTAACTAGTTTCTTGGTAAATATAAATAGATAAAATTTAGCTTATACTCACTGCATCCCCTTTTATAAGCAACTTTGAACTCCATTATGGGATCATAAAGCAGTTAAAAATAATAAATTGGTAAAAAAAAAAATGAAAGTTCTTTCTGAAAAATACTTTTATTTATGGGGAAGAGAGTATAAGAAAGAGAATAAGAGAATTATTATTCCTCTAGTCTTATTTATAGGGCAGAGAAAAGACATTTTTTGGTCATATTTATAAGGTACTGAGAAAATTTTTTTGTACGGATGTACAATTTTACCCTTAACTTGTTATTATGTTGACTTTGTTTATATGAAGTATAATATATATTAAATAGGGATAAAGTTAGAAAGTTGTTAAATTTTAAACGAGAGTTAATGAAGTTTAAAGTTTTTTTTTATCTGTGTAAAATATGTTAGAAGTAATTTATAAATAGAACCGGAAGAGTATAATAAAGAGAATTATGAAAGAGAAAGAGCATATGATAAAGAGAGATGATGATTTGAAAATGAGATAATAAATATATTGATTATTAAAATAAATAATTAATGAGGTAAAATAGAAAATTTGCCATAAAAACTTAAGATAAATTGTAAATATTATCTATATTTAGGGAAAAAAGGAAAATAGTAGTTATTGTTTATAGAAGCAGACCTCGCGAGTATTTAAACCAGAGGGAGTAATTATGTTTGTTAGTTGGAATCTCATAACAATTCTCTTCATTGTAATCATGTTCTTTTTAAATTACGAAAAATTCGTTTGTCACCCAGGAAATCAGTAATATACACCACGTGTTGGATGAAGCTCGACCCATTCTGCCACCCAGTTTTCGCCTTAAAGTGTCTCCAAACCAACCCAACCCAACCCAACCCAACATAAACGTGGAAGAAGAAAATGGGCATAGAAACTTACAATTGAAGCAAACAAACTTACCTAATACAAATGACAAAGCATGTTAGTTGCCAAAAGTGTGATGTTTAGAAGCTAGCAGAGTGGGAGAAATAAATTATTTTTTGACCTGAGGGAGAAATAAATTATTGAAGCAAGTAAGTTCATATAATCCTTCATAGATGGTAGAATGTTATAATCAAAGTGAGACACCAGCACCTACCTAATAACATAACAATATATTCGATATAATTGCGTCCTCTTCACTTGGTGGTTGGCTCATCACCTGCCATCATTCCTTTGTTCTTAAGGTAGTAGTAAGCAGAAACCTCTGATGCCGACGGTTTGATTTCAAATGCAACATTGTTTTCCATTTTTCCTTATGCCCGTTGAGTTTTTGGTGGGGGTCATATTTTTGAAGGCGTTTTTCGGTGATCCCACATTATGAAGCTCTCGGCTTTGCATCAGAGTTACCTGAAACCGCCGGACTAACGGCTTCCGAGGATCACCCCAGTTGGATTCCTCCGCGATGGCCCCGTAAAGTTCTCCGGCTGCCATTTTCTGGCTTGTCCTTCATGGAGTTTTGTTGTCTCATTAGTTTGGTGCTTGGTTTCCGTTTCTCTCGCCTCGTCTTCTTCTTTCTCGTCACCACTTCATCTAACTTCCAATCCCTTGATTCTCAATCCGCTCTAACTTCCAATCCCTTCGCCAACTTTGAAAATCCTGCTAATGGAACCACTATTGGCGGCTCCGCCAGCAGGGTCGTCGTTGGACGGCACGGAATCCGAATACGACCTTGGCCATCCGGATCCCGTGGAGGTGATGACGGCTCACCAGATAATTAACAGAGTTCAGAGGGAGCAGAGGCTCCAGTTTGGAGTGAAGAACCCCAAGACAGTGATTGCGATCACGCCACGACTTAGTACGGACGTTTCAGGCTCTTCATTTGACCGGCGTGATGCAGTCGCTAATGCTGGTTGCCATACGACCTAGTGTGGATCGTGGTGGAGGGCCGGCGGAATCACCAAGGAGACCTCTTCAATTATTTGCCAAGTCTGGACTTAGAACCATCCACATTGGGTTCAATCAGCGGATGCCAAGTTCATGGGACGCAAGGCATAAGTTGGAGACCCGCATGCGGCTTCATGCTTTGAGGTAAATTTCTAGTTCATGTTCTCTGCACTGCCAATTAGCTTCAGTTTCGTTACTGGGGAAACGCAACCAGTATTTACTGACAATTAGAGACTAAAATGTTCTTTTATATGATCTGTAAGGAATAGCTTGTTTATAATTTTGTGTCGTTTGCTTATCTTCTATATGTACGACAGAATGTGAGAAAAAAGAAGCTGGATGGGGTTGTGATGTTTGCGGATGACAGTAATATACATAGTATGGAGCTATTTGATGAAATCCAAAGTGTGAAATGGATAGGTGCTGTTTCAGTTGGAATACTTGGTCATTCCGTGAATACAGATGAATCTACATCCCAGCCAATAGAGTGGATTAAGGATCTTGATGCTTTAGATGGGGAGATAGAGAGTCCACTGTCTTTGCTCAAGGACACCTCTGTGGTGGAACCACTTGGTAGCTGTGGAAGCCAAGTTTTGCTTTGGTGGTGGCTGCGTGTTGAAGCTCGGTCCGACAGCAAATTCCCTCCCAGGTCAGCCGTTTCCTCTTGATTTTCAGTATAATAAACTTGTTCCTCAAGCTTATTTCTTCATATGCATATGTTATTCTTAAAACATGCTTGTATATTTGAAAAATCCTGTTGGTGGCACACAAGAACTTATGAATGCTGATTGATACTATAATATGGTCGTTTTGTGGCACATGTCAGTAAAAATGTCTATATGGACTCATGGAATCCTAATCCCATACTTTTTTAAACTGATTGATCTCATCATAATTATCATTACAAGGATTCCATTGAAGTTAATTATTATTACATTAAAAATGCTGGTTATCAGTCGCCAAAGCATCAAGGCTTGAGAACCTGCATCAAAACACATTCTATTTCGTGGATTTTTATATATTCTCGAAACTTCTTCAGTCCCCAAAGCATGATTCTGTGCATACTTCTGAACATTTGACACAAATTAATGCAGATGGATAATTGACCCTCCTTTAGACGTCACTGTTCCATCGAAAAAAAAGTCCTTGGCCAGATGCTGCCCCTGAGCTCTCATCAAACGAAAGTTGTCAATTAGCACTCAAGAGCTGCCAACTAAATCTACAACATCTCAATCCAGGCGCATCCGAAAGAGAAAGAGTGAAATCAAAGTGATCCGTTCACAAGTCTCTACAAATTCTGAACAGAACTAAGAGATAATAAGAGCTATCTGAGAATTTCGCTGCCTTGTGGTAAATCTACAAAATCTCAATCCAGGCGCATCCGAAAGAGAAAGAGTGAAATCAAAGTGATCCGTTCACAAGTCTCTACAAATTCTGAACAGAACTAAGATGATAATAAGAGCTATCTGAGAATTTCGCTGCCTTGTGGATACAAGAAGATTGCCGTCTGCTGGCCTTGGCCAACTATTGCATGGATCTGACCTAATGGAGAAGCTGGCCACATTTCTATTCTTTGCATTTGTTCCTTTTCTCTTTGAAAAAAGTATCCATTTGTAGTTTTCAAGTCGGTAGACATGTAGTCACACTTCTTAGAAGCAAATCCAAGTGAACGGAGTGCCAAATTGGTACAGATATGTTTGTTTAGGAAATTGATAAACCATATGCCCTGTTTGGATAATGGCATTGGAGTATATAGCATGGGAATATGAGAGCTTATTCCACTTATCGTGTTTGATTGGCAGTAATTGCATAGTGATTCATTCTTTCCAATTGAGGAATTTGGATATCATCCATCAAGTTTTTAATGGAAATGCCTGCTGATCTTGGAAACGTTTTTAAGTTTACATGTATTTTGCTGTGATCCATTCTTCCCAATTTTCATGCTAGTTTAAAGAAACATAAGAATACTAAATTTTCTTAATTCAGTGCAAGAGTTTTTTTAGCTATTATTTTTATCCAACCATACGTTAATATAAAATAACAAACTTATTTTTAATTATTACTGTACATAAATAATTTATTCCATCAAAATTAATTCTCACTCTCAAGCAAAATAATACTCTTTCGATCTTAAATATAGAACCTATTTTGTAGTGTAAATTACACTATAAAGTAGATATTATATTTAGAACTGAAGGAGTATTTTATAAAATCACAGCCCACAAACAATTATTATTTTTAAAATACCTAATATTTTTTTCTCTTTTTTATTTGCATGTGGCCGATATAGTGTAGAATAAGGTCATAAATCCAAGTTCATATCGCATGGAAATCCCAACTCTTCGTCTTCATTACTATCGCTAGTACATTAACAAATAGTCAGTACAATTTCCACACAAATCGGTTTCTCAACGCTTGAGACTTCCTTTTTATTCTGCTTTCCCTTCGGCGTGATTGTTTTCAGTTATTAATAAAGGAAATATGATTAACAGAGTGGTAATATTACAAACTAAGGGAGCTATCAACGCCCATGGGCCCATGTCCTCTTTTTTCCGCTGTCGTTTGCCATTGTGGCCCAGGAGTTTGTTACTATTTGCCATAAGCTTAAGCAAGTGTTAAAACATTGAAATTTATCTGTTTGCTGACGCCAAAAGTAGCTTAAATTTTAAAATAAGCTGGGTTGAGATAAAGGGCTGTTTGGCAGAGCTTTGGAACTGATTGGGCTTATTCCATTTTAAGTTATCTGACCGTCCAATTGAATAAGTTCCTGAAGGGGCTTAGAAGAGCTTAATTTTAGCCATTCTACAATGTCAGAGATTTTTTTTTCTTTTTTTCTTCTCCCATCTGCCTTTTCCCTCGAGCTCGGTCACTTCCTTTCTTTTTCACCCAGAACTCCCACCCTTGCTCCTCTACTAGTCGCCCACAGAAGGTCCCTCCTGGTCGCCGTGAGCTTTGCTTTTTCATGGTCGTGAGCTCAGCGTGGTGGGTGTGAGGTGTGCGTGGCCTGCTAGAGGCTGTTCCTTCCTCGCAAGTCCGAGCTGGTCACCGCCGTCTACCTGTGCTCTTCGAGCTGTGCGTGGAGATCTTGCCTTGCCTGTCTGATACACCGTGGGATCTATCTCTGGCAGCCTTCGGTTGGTTTGATCTGTTACGGTTGGGTGGTAGCTTTTTTTTTTCTTTTTTGGTTTGATCCCATGGTTGAATTCGCTGTTGTTGAATTTGTCGTTGCCGGATGGAAGCCTTAAAATTAAAGCCTAAAAATTGGTGCTTGGTCGCCGGTGGTTGTTCTTTTTTTTTTTTTCCCCTCTGGTTTTCTTGGTCCTCTGTTTCTGCTGGCCGGTGGTTGTTTTTTTTTTCCTTCTGGTTTTCATGATCGTCTGCCTCTGCTCATCGGTGGTCTGATTTTTTCTTCCCCTCTTCGTGGTTTTGGTCATCTTGACGAGCTGTTGAGGTGAATTAACGGCTGTCTGTTGGAACAATGGATCTACATAGAGCTTGTGATGATCATTTTGGATATGTGATTGTGTATACGTGCATATGAGCTTGTGTATATGAGATTGTGTTACGCTAATCATTTAGTTGCAATGCTGCTGGAATTTTGAAAGAAAAATGCACAAAAAATTAATGGTTTCCGTTGGTGTAAATCCAATAACCTGAATTTGCAATTTCATATGAAAAACTCGACTTTCCCATTGGTAGCAGATGCTTATTCATTAAGCAAGGAAAATTTATGTCAAAATTAAAAAGGCTTGTTGTTCCTAATATATTAATTTTTATGACTTCAGTGGTTTATGTGAACACCTTGTATAGACTGAAGAAAAAGTAATTTTAACTATTGTTTTGTCCCTTTAATTAAGTTTTTGATAGTGCAATTAACTACTAAATTGTCGTCCCTAATTAAGTTTCTATTAAAACATGGCATCTCCAATTCAAAGATGAACAATTGTTTTTCAAACAATAAGAAAAATAATTGATAAAAATTTAGTTTTGAAAAAATTTTCACAACCAATTACCACTAATTAAATACTTATAATTTAAAAAAAATTTGAATAAGAAAACTAAATAGCAATTACAATGTCTTAATTAATATTCTACGACTTCATAATAATAATCGAGTTTGATAACAAAAAATTCACAATAATATTAAGAAAATAATATATATGTTGTTTGGTGATTACATAATATGGCTTTTATTATTACATATTTAGGGTTTTGGTTGATTCAATTAGTGTTCTCTCCATCAAAAGGCATAGAGAAATGGACAATGATAAGGGAAAAGCGATATGGGATCCTTACACGACAAAGATTCTAATCGATGTTTGCGCCAAGCAAATATAACACAAGAAACGACAAGGAACATCGTTTACAAGTCCGATTGGAGGAAAGTTGGAAAGAACTTTAGGAAAGGAGCGGGAGAAAGTATGATAGGAGGCAATTGAAGAATAGATTTGATATATTGAGAAAAGATTGGAAGTTGTGGGGATGTCTGGAGAGACTGGAATTGGTTATGATGTAGCCACAAATAGGGTGTTGGCCTCCGCTGAGTGATGGCAACAAAAATTACTGGTAACTATATGCGTTGGTTGAGTTTTAATTTTGATTATCCGTTAAGACTTCGCTTAATTATCCCTAATCATCTTAATGTAATGTAGGTGGACCCTAATTTCAAGAAATTTAGACATCAGTGGTTGATGTTTGCATCAGATCTGCAAAAAATATTCAAAGATGTTGTGGCTTTGAGAGACTATATGTACACACCATCAGTCTCACAACCCCAGCCGACACCTGTGACACAGGCTGACACAGAAGAGGAGGAGGATGTTTATAGAGTCTGCCTGGACCAACAGGAAGGGTCGGGGGATAGTGAGGACAAAAATTTCAGTGTTGACCCAATAGCTAGTGCAAGGTTCACAGATGACTTCGCCGGTTACAGCTTAAACAACCCTGTGAGTACTAGACCAAGTGGCTCAGGAAGCTATGGAAAGAGGAAGAGGGGTGAGACGTCTGATGCAAAGAAAAAGAAAAAAGCTACTGCGTCTACTAAAATTTCTGATAGTCTTAGTGTTATAGTAGCTGCTTCTGACAATTGAGCAGCAGCATTGGTTGAAGATCCCTAACTGGTTGACAAGGTTTTGGCACACCTGACTACTGTTGAGGAGCTTAATGGTAAAAATCAACTATATTATGTATGTGCCAAGATGCTTACGTGGTTGAGGTGGGCTAGGCGAGCCTATTTAGGGTTTATGCATAATAAAAGCAAGTTGTTGGCGTGGTTAATACCAACAGTACAAGACCCAGACACATGGAAGGGACCTGTAGATTAGGATTTAGTTTAGGATTTAGTTGTTTCACTGTTGTTACTGCATTTGTTAACTTAAACTGATTGCTGTTTGAACCTGAACTGATATGACTTGTTGTAAGAACTTTATTAATGACTATGTAATATATTTATTCTAATTTCTACTTGTCATCTATGTCTTTGGTTTTTTTGTTTGCAGTATGAAAATTATTTACACTTTGTTTAGTGTAGTCCTTATAGTACTTACACTTTGTTGTCGTTATAGTCACAAGGTTAACTCCAGAAATGACTAATTGGAATGACGATTCACCATGGAATGAATATACTTTGAGGAATTGGAATAACGATTCATAATGAAACGAAAATGACCATTCAAGACGGTTATTTATGATTAATGAGGAATTAACACAAGATGCATTGGTTGGTCATTACTGTGAAATGTATATGTTTAAACAACCCTGCAGAACTAGTGAGCAGATAGGAAATTTATGGGTACAAGGCATTATGAATGGGCATGATGATCGATATCCTGAAATGTTTAGAGTGGATAAACATGTTTTCCACCTCTTATGTACTAAATTAGAGGAACATGGTTTATGAAAGTCTAAGTACGTAGGAATTGAAGAAATGATCGCTATGTTTTTAAACACGGTTGCACATGGACAATGCAATAGGATGATCCAGGAATGATTTCAACGTTCAGGGAAAACTGTAAGTAGACACTTTCACAATGTACTGCAAGCTTGCTTTAGCCTATCGAGTGAACTTATTCGACTCATAGATCCTCATTTCGTGGAACTCATAGAAAAATTGAGAATGATCCACGTTATGATCCATTTTTTAAGGATGCAATTGGAGCAATCGATGGTACTCACATACCGTGTGTTGTCCCCGCTGCAAAACGAAATAAATTTATTAGCAGAAAAGAAAATCCATCACAAAATGTCATGGCTGTATGTGATTGGGATATGTATTTCACTTTTGTCTTGGCAAGATGGGAGGGATCTGCACATGATGCTCGTATATTTGACAATACTATTACAAATTCATCTCTAAGTTTCTCTCATCCACCTCCTGGTATATGTTTATGGCATCTCCAATCATGCACGTTTTTTAATTATTTCATATTTCTATTCATTTCACAATGTCTCAAATTGTTTCATGAATTGTTAGGAAAATATTACTTGGTTGATGCGGGATATCCAACACCAAATGGATATCTAGATCCATACAGATCTGAGCGCTACCACCTTCCGGACTTTTGATGACAAGTAGGATTCTGAAATAGTAACAAAGCCTTCAATTATTATCATTCCAGTTTAAGGTGCACAATAGAAAGAACATTCGGTGTTTAGAAAAATAGATTTCAAATTCTACAAAATATGCGCAGTTACGACTTCCAAACACAAGTGTACAGTGTACCTGATTTGTGCAACAATGGCCATTCATAACCTTATAAGGAGACATTCAAGCTTCAACTTCTATTTTTAACAAGCTGAAAATGGTAATATAGTTGGCAAACATGATCAGGCTGAAGCTAGTCAACCATCATCTTCAAATGTTAATTCATAGTCTTTATCGCATATGAATTGTGTCCGTGATGCAATTAGAGACCAAATTATCCATAGCTAATCATTTAATTAATTATGCAATATTAGTATTTCATTTCACTTTTTCGTAATACTACAAATTGGAGTTCAAACATTATTATCCATTCAAATTATGTTTCACTTTTATTTGCCTTTTTTTTTTATTTCTCTGATATTTTCAAATTTAATTCACTTAATCAATTTCACTTATTCATATTAAATTAATTTAAATTCATTGTCTTATGTCAATTCATTTCTTATCATATTTCACTTTATATTTAAAATATTTTTTTGTGATTTCTCTAAATCTTTCAATTTTAATTCACTCATTAAATTTCACTTCTTCATTATATTATCTCAATTCCTTTTTTTCATGTTTCACTTTATATTTAAAATATTTTTTATGATTTCTTTAAAATTTTAAAATTTAATTCACTCATTAAATTTGATTTCTTCATATTAAATTATTTCAATTTCATTGTATTATGTGAAATCAATTTTTTATCATGTTTCATTATTTATTAAAATTCATACCCATTTTGGTAATTTTTCAGCTAAACTTACTTTTACTCAACTATAATCCAAACAAGCTTTTACCAATCTCACTTTTGCAAACTAACTTTTCTGAACTCTAATCCAAACACAATTCAGCTTATCCAATTTAACTTTTACCAACTTTATTTTTCCATAAGCTGCTTTTCTAATCGCTGATCCAAACGGGCACTTAATGATGCTACCTTCTGTCCTTAATATAAGAGTTAGTTTAACTTTTAATCTGGTCTTAAATATTAAATATAAGACTCTCACTCTATTTTATCTCTAATATTTATCTATTTTTTTTCAAGTAATCCTTATAGTCGTTATATATGTTAAGAAATTACTATCAATTTGTAATTCAAACGCACATGATTAATGAGGGTATTTTAAGAAAAACAATGTCTATTTACCACCAATAACTAATTTAATTAACTTTCTTAATATTAAGCATAAGAGGCGGTAAGACCTTGTTTATTGATGAGGCAGTTATTTCATAAAACATAAAATGATTTCGTGTTTGCTTCATGTTATTGATGGCAAATAAATTATGCCCTGAAGTGTGGAGAGGAAAATGAGTCTCATGTTATTAAATTTAGTAAGAAAATAATAAGAAAAATGGAGTTTAATTTTATGGCTGCAAGTGAGACTCCATCTGCTAGATGTTTGAAGCATGCTGGAGATACATTCATATTGTTCAAACTGAAAGGCTACTTCATATTTTTGGGTTATTGTCTGGATTTCCTCTTATAATTCAGTTATAAGATAGTCTTATAAATTAATAAGTTTGATTTCTCAATCCACAAGTTCCTAGTCACAACACTTTACACAAAATTGATTGCACTACTTTCTTAATCATTAAGATCTACTCAACTAATTTGGAATAATTAAGAAAACTAATTGAATTAGTTACTTGATAAAAATATGTTAGTTTTCCTCAAAATACCTTCTTAAATCATTTATATTAAAACTACCCTTATGCAAACTCCTTTAATATGTACAATTGATAAGAATAGTTTAAGATAAAAATGATTAGTATGGGAGAAAAAATAAATCTAGATATTATATTTAAAACCAAACTCAACCCAACTAGCTTTTATATTAGAGATTGAAAATAATACTCCTCGGGTCCTTAATATAGGACCCAATTGTTGAGTTGGTTTTGACCCTAAATATAAAACCCATTTTTCATATTTATCAATTTTCTCTAAATTACCCTATGGATACTCCCTCAACCATAATCAAGTAGAAGAGAGAGAATGAGTATTAAGAAAAATGATTATAGTGTTTTAGGAAAAATATGTCACATTTCTTATAATTAACTAATTTACCTAACTTCCTTAATCTAATCAAATTAGTTATATAAATCTTATATTAAAGACTGGAAGAGTAATTCAATCACAAGACAACCATATAGATTAACAAGGTTAATTTGTGGACTCACAAGTTCCCTGTAGTAGTTTACAAGTTTCCCTATCATAACTGAATCATTAGATAGTCTTGAAAGTTAACAGGTTTAATTTGTAAATTCACAAGTTGCCTTTAGTAATTCGCAAGTTATGTTGCCCCTTCTCTTTTCTTTAACATTGTGGTCATTTGACTAAAATCCGAAATCCCTAAGTAATGACCTTTGACCTATTAGGAATTAGTCAAAAATGTAGGACAAATTTGGGTTTTGGGTATTTCAAGGGGACCTTTTTGGGATATTCCCTATGATTTGTTGGATGATCTTATATTGTATGAAGCCCTCAAAGTCAAAGCAGATTTACCATTTAACTCATTTAAACTACTTTAGTTGGGTTGAAAATCAAAACCTTATTTACAGTGTAGGTTAGGTGCCATAAAGATTCAGGGTTCAAACCCTCCTGATGTGGGGGAAAAATCTTCAAATACAAAAGTCATGATAACTACGAATATAAAATAAACATTGGGGGTCATTCCACCAGTCTATCAGTTATTATTGGGTTCCGTTCTTTCATCATATAAGCTCAAAACTTCCCGATGTGGCTTCAAATAGCCAAAAAGTTTGTCACCTAAGCTCAACACTTTACACCACACTCTGGAATGCGAGTAACACAATTCCCATAGCTGATGGAGAGGAAAATATGATTAACAAATGGATGATACATGTAAACTTTTGGAGTCCAGCACTTTTCTTGTTTGGTAAACATAATTTGATTGTTGATGAGTAAAACGTTACATACAGCTATGCATGCTTTCCTACAATAACTAGGAAAACTGTACGTAAGAAGAAAGCTGTAGGATGAAAAATGAATGAAGAAATTGGTAAACAGGAGGACATGAGGTATCAAGATATTGCTTTTGATAATAATGATACTGATGATTTCACTCCGTTTCTTGAGTATCGTCCTCTGCTTTCCAAACAACGTCATCAAGCCTTGTTGAAAGACTCTTGTAGAACTGCATGTAGGGTGAAGCAAGCAAAGTCATTTCAGCTGAGTCCAATTGTAACGAGCATTTTAACTCTGTTTTTCTCGTGGTGTTGAGAAAACATGAGCTAGAAACTGTGACATGACCAGCTTTCTTAAAATAGGCGGGGAGGTTCTAGAAAGAGAGGAAGGAGAAAGATTTTTTCTTTTTTTTGGAATGAGGAGTCTGTATCATACAAATAGGCCGCTTGTAACTAAAAACCACAGTTTTTCTATTAATGCAAGAATTGGGAATGAACATGGGTTGCCACAACATTTACTAGTTAGGCCATAAGACAAGTCCTTTCACATGAGAATGGGCAGAGGTGGGACCCACTGGGGGGATAACAAAGGCCCATTCAAAAGACTGAGTGCTAAGGAATCTCATTGATCATAAACCCAAATTTTGGATTCATTATTGACCAGCGGAACATATCTCTATAAAGATGGTCAGCCAGAAACCAAGTAAACCAAATAAAAGAATGAGAGAAAAGAAAATATATACCTTGTGAAACTCCAATGTATCACCTTTTGCTTTCCTCACCTCGACCATGTGAAGAGAAGGTGCCACTTGAAATATCTGTTCCAAACAAGAGTAATTCAGATTATCAATGCATTATCCTGACAAATGATTTATACTTCACTGATTAACGGGAACTGGTTTCACTCACCTCAGTGGCAATATTAAGGTTTCCCTTCCTTCCTGCTTTCACATTCTCAAGCCTCATCTAAAGTTGAAGATTGATTAAAATTTTTTGTAGAGTAAAAAAACTGTAGATCATGTTCTTTCGGTGTTAGCTTATGATCAGTGTCACACATTTCGCTTACCTTGTAGTTTTTCTTCTGCACGTCAAAACCAAGAGGCTTTACAGCTTCTTCGATCTTGTCCACTATCTCTTTCGCAGGGCATCTTGATGTGAACCTTGTTTCTCTTTTCAGGGCCTGCAGCCAGTTACATCACAGTAAGAACCCAGACAGTATTAAGGCAAGAAACCTCTTTATGTGCTATAGTCGGACATGTTTTTTTCTTATGCCAATCAAGTTCGGTTTTGAAGAAGTTAACTGAAATTTATGTTGAACTTGCATAATTGAGTATTATCTAGCTATTCCTGTATCTGAATATTACCCCAAAAAAGAAGAAGCATAATTTAAATGGCTAAAGGTTAAACACTTGTATGGGCCTGAAAATACAGCAAGCCAGACATGTTTGCTTCCACTCGTTTAATATAATCCAAAAATATTTCCATCTATTGATAACAGACTTCTAATACAAGAGGGAGAAGAACAATAAATGCTCATTCAATAAATTCTGAAGATTCACCATGAGTGGCAACACAAGGAAAAGCTTTAACATGTAAAGTTGTGAACCTGCTCAATATCAAACAAGTTTTCGAGGTTTAGCCCTTTGGACATGGATATTAATTCAAATGCATTGATGGCTGTCGGCTGTTCTTCCTTCTTCTCTGTCACAAGGTGTTCCTGCGAGCACAGGCAAAAATTTTTACATGTGAAAATATTCATGCATCAAGAATTTCACAGCACTGACATAAAATATATATAGTCACTAAAGATTATTCTCAACGTACTTCAGAATCTCTAAAGACAGCTTCAATGTCATCAAGGTTGGTCTCCCCTTTCTCCTCAAAAACTGGAGGCTTATAATCTTTCTTAAACCATTCATCGCCCAAGATTTGAGATATAGTGATACGCTGTCATACAGTTAGGGTAAATCAGAAATGGAGACCAAAACTTTTAAGTGCTAAAACAACAATAGCAATACAACAAGATTATGATCATTTTTCCTTCTTTTTTTTTTCTTTTTTTTAAATCATTTATGCCTCTTTTGCTTTTTATTTTCCTTTTGCTCTATGTTTTGGGGTGGATGAGCAATATCTGATTTTAAAAAATGTCTTATTTAAGTCATAGCATCTAGTTGATGCCATTGTTGTTGATGTCGAAGTTTAGGCCGCAGCAAGGTGACTTTGGGAAAGCCGATTTGTTATGCACCAACAATTTAGTCCCCTAAACTTACAAACCCTTTGCCGAAGGCCGTAAACTTTTAGTAGCAAATGATTTTGTTGCTGAAAATATCTGACTTGTTGCATATTAGTCCTTCAAACCCACATTAGCTGTCCATATTTGGTCATCTATACCTTGGATAGCTCATCATATTATGGGGCCAGGGAGTGATAAATGTATCTTCAATTTATTTGATTTAGGTCTCTTTAGATATGGAAAGAGGATTTTAGATTTCCATAAGCCTTTTGCAATATGGTGAGTTTCATTTACTTCGATCAAACAGGCCATGTAGACCTGAATTTATGAGATCAATTAACAACAGCAAAGTTTGAAAGGTAAGCATGGGGCATGACAGAAGGATTAACTTGTACTAAGTTTGATAATTTTAGGAAACAATTCATTCACGGCAAAAATTTGGGGACTAAACCAACTCTACAGTGTAGTTTGTAATCATAATGAGTCTTTTGCTTCGACAATAATCATACAACTTGACACAAGATGAAGACAGAATCAAACGTTATTTCTTACAGTCACGGGGTTAGGATCCAAAATTCGAGTTATCAATTTCCTGGCACTGAATGAAATCCATGGGGGACACGTAAATTCAGCAGCTGAGATCTGCAGATCATGAAGAGAGGGGGGGAAAAAAAAGGTAATGAACAGAAAACTGAGAATGACAGGAAATTGCAAAGTAAAATTCTCAAAATGCTCACTTTTTTATACAGGTTCATAATATTAGGGTCATCAAAAGGCAAGTAACCTGCAAGCAATACAAAGAGAATCACTCCACAAGACCACAAGTCTGCAGTTGCTCCATCATAGCCTCTATCATCAAGGACCTGCGTCACAAGAGTAAATTGTTATAAGCTTAGGTTCTATAAAGTGAATCACACAATGCGACGCACAAGAAAGCAGCAAGATATGACATTCGTCCACACCTCAGGAGCAACATAATTTGGAGTTCCACATGTAGTATGAAGCAGGCCATCGTCCTGTCAACACCATCATTTTATAAGATTAAAAATGCTCACTTTGCAAAATCATCACTTTCGGATCTTAATTACGTTTTGTTTGAGGTTTACAACTGGACTTAAGTTTTTGGTTTAAAAAAACTGCACTTAAGCAATAAGATCAAATTAATAGAAAAAAAGAATGAATCATGGTTACCTTGATTTGCTGTGATAGCGCACTCAACCCAAAATCAGAAACTTTAAGCTGGCCATGAGCATCCAGCAGCAAATTTTCTGGCTGAAGAAATTCCATGAACAGATGTTCTAATCAAATTAAACGTTCTGATACCTGCAAATATGTGATGTGAAAGGTAGATAAAAGGTCTTGCCTTGAGGTCTCTGTGGTAGACACCCCTGCTATGGCAATAATCAACAGCATTTATAAGCTGCTGGAAATAAGTACGTGCTTCTTTTTCACTCATTCGTCCATGGTTTACCTTCACAACAAAAATGTTTATTAGAAAACAAACCTTTTATCTCTTTCCTCCAAAAGATTATTGAACTTATTGAAAATGAGAAGATAGTATCGAATAAAATAAGACAAGCAGAGGTTCATGTACTCACAATTTTGTCAAAGAGCTCTCCTCCAGTAGCAAACTCCAAAACTATATATATTTTTGTCCTGCTCCCCATAACCTGAAAATAAAAGTACAAAATTTAGCATCAGGCATTACCAGAATTTCATCATGATTTTCTTTTACTTTATAATTAATGTTTTACATGCAGCAGAACCATCAGCAAATTTAAAAATGCTCACAAGGAATCTTATTCCTAGCCAACAATGGTATTTAATCAGTCCTATAAAATAGTTGATGTCTCTTTCTTGTAAGCAAGATTTCAGTTCAGATTCATCTCTTCCCTAAATATTAAAAAATAATAATAATAAAAAAAAAGCAAGAGTAGGTAGAAGCAGATAGAGAAACAAACAAACCTCATATAATCGCACAACATTTGGATGCTTGATTAACTTCATTGTTGCTATTTCCCGCCTGATCTGTTAAAACACATATTAAAATACAGAGCATTGACTTCATCATGTAGGGATCGAAAGCAGCTTTGCAACAGAATTTATAATCAAAATCGGAAGTCAGTCATGTCAAGGAACAAGATGCCTCTTATGTCTGTAATCTCCCACCTAAAACTATGTTCAAGACAACCAAAATATAGCAGTACCCTGACAGCTTTTGGAAGGTCTGAGGAAGCATTATGGCATAAATTCTATGCCTCTTCCACATGGAATGAAATGACAGAAAAATGAAAGTCAGAGAAAGAGTGCAAAGTGAATAAAGAATCGATATTGATCAAACCTGCTCGGTTACAGGTTTTGACTCTAAACATGAATCTTTCCATATCAAAGAACAAGATGATTCTCAAGCCTGCAACCTCTTATCGCAAACTAGGTTCTAGCCAACCTAAAGTAAGCAATATTTTGAAAGCTGTGGGAAGATTCGAAGAAGCAACTATGGCGTACATTTTGATACCTTCATCTGATTGAATGACATTGAGTAATGATGCAAAATGGTATAAGAATGTTATCCCATAATTACCTGCTCAGCCATCTTGTGCTTGAGAACCTTCTCTTTCTCCAGAATTTTGATAGCCACGGGCTCCCCAGTCTCAGAGTTCCGTGCAAATTTCACTTTCGCAAATGTTCCCTCACCAATGGTCCTTCCCACCTCATATTTACCTATACAACGCTTGATTTTAGGCTGGCTCATTCCGAACGATTTATCAGCTTTCAGATAAAGTCCAACTCTTCCCCCACTTAAAAGGAACCTGCCTGAACATAGTCTCAGAATTTAGTAGAAAAACCAAAAGTCAACAAATCATTATGAGCGCACGAAATGCTATTGGTGCTTATGTGTCAAAGAGAACATGGATTTTGAAGATCAAGAAGTACATGAGCAAAAAGTCAACAAGTCATTTTTAGTATCCATCCTTGGGAGTCAGCAAATCTTGCCATATTATAGGTCGTTTTTCAGAGACCTTCCATATTCAGTTACTAAAGGAGAACACTGGATAAATCAAATCCAGATTCCATGTATAAGAAGCATACTGAATACAGACCTCATTTAAATTTCAAACCAAGCTCAAACCTACACATAAGAACATGATAAAGCAACAGACACAATTATATTCAACTAGGAGACGAACAATATGACTTGGAAGAAAATTACCCTGGAAATCAATGAGATGGTCTTCAGTATTGATTGCCCTCAAATAAAATATTGAATACGAATCCAAAAAGCAAGCTGCCCCGACACCCTTCAAAGAAATTGTTGCCTTCAGAAACCAGATTTGTAATCAAATAATCAATGTCCAAAATGAAAGTTCCCAACACTTTATAATGATAATTTTCTTTTGTTTTTGCAATTTTTGTGAAAGTTCTGGCTAGTGATAACGCAAGCAGGTCTTGGAATCATGCAACGGAGAAAAGTATCAGGAAACGGGCGTTCATGAAGATGTATAATTTTGTCCTCCCGAATTCTCACACTTAGATGAAGAAGAAAATAAAAGTAAAACTGAAAATCTCCATGTAAAAGAACACAAGAAACAGAAGTGGGGTATTCAAAGCATTATGAAAATGGAACTGAAGTCAATGTGAAAAATGCACAGAGAACCACTATGACGCAAGAGGATACTCGGAATGAAATAACAAAAAGCTCAGATCACGATCATAGGGTGAAGTATAATAGATGGATAGTTATGGGGGGGGGGGGAGAGAGAGAGAGAGAAGGAGAGGAGTGGAGAGAGAACATACAGAAAGCTAGAACGAGAGAGGCAATCAGACGGATGAAGAAAGAGAAGATGGATATACCTGAACTTTACAATGGAGATAAGAAAGACTTGAAGGCTGGCAGACAAGTGATAATGAGGTATGTCTGTGATCTCTTAAATACCAGAAGTTTCTACGAACCCAAAGACAGCCCCACCAATTACTGCACTACAACCAGACAAATTTTCACCCAAAGTACGATCTTATCCAAAACCTAATTTTTCAGCCCAGCAATTTTACTTCCAAAGAAAAACGGTTCAAACTTTACCACCCGAACAGCATTCAACATTCAACGCTCATCAAATTCACGAGAAAAACAACTTCAAAGGCTGAAAACCATGGAGAAACCTGATCCAATGTAGTGGTTATTCTATGGTTCCTCCATTTGACAGTCTAGCGATTCTTCTTCTTAATAATAAGGAGGATGAATCTGAACCGAGACCGCAAACACGTGAAGCAACGCCCACAAGGCCACAATGCATATGAGACATGGATTCGGGTAGGAAGACGACAAAAGAAAACCAGTAAGCATGAATAAACAAAGCAGAAAATGACGCAGCAGAATGAAGCGAGCGGCTAAAGTGGAGGGACAAGAAGCAACAGTGGAAGACGGAAATCAAAATATTGCAGACTGGAGTGCGCAGCGGGCGCGTCAGCATCAGCAACAGCAACATGTGCCAAGATTTATCAACACAAGTTGGATTATGTTATGATCATTTCATGCCGTTGGCAAAATAAATATATATATATATATATATATCTCATTTCATATCTTTCCGGCAACGCAATTAAGTGAAACATAACATTCTACTAATTTTTACAATTGATTGGATGACCACCCATTGTTCTTCTCTTCATCTTCTTGTATTAAAAGTCTGGCATCGATATATACTATTTCCTGCAGTTAATATATGAGTTAGTATCATATTCTAATTCATTTTGTCTCTCATATTTATTTATTTTTATAAAATAATCTTTATAGCAGTTATACATGTTTAATATTCCATTAAATGGTAATTTTAGTTAATACACATGATTAGTAAGGATTTAAAAAAAAATAATATCTATTTATTACAAATAATTAATTTAACAAATTTCATTAATATACTCAAATTAGTCAATTATCTTTTATACTCATCCGGTCCTTAATATAGGACCTAATTATTGAGTTGATTTTGGTTCTAAATATAAAACTTGTTTCTCATATTTATCAATTTTTTCTAAATTACCACTATAGATATTCTCTCAACTATAATCAAGTAAAAGAGGGATAGAAGATATTAAGGAAAATAATTATGGTGTTTTAGAAAAAAACATGTCAAATTTTTTATAATTAACTAACCTACCTAACTTCTTTAATCTAATCAAATTAGTTAAATAGGTCTTATATTAAGGACCAGAGGAGTATTACCTCTAATTCTTAATATAAAAACTAATTTGACTTTTAATTTGATCCTAAATATAAGATCGTAATCAATTTTATCTTTTATATTTATCTATTTTGCTAAAGTAATTCTTATAATAGTTGCACATGTTAAATATTTCATCAATCAGTAATAATTGATATACATTATTAGTAAAGATATTCTAGAGAATCATGCTTGTTACAAATAACAAATTTAATAAATTCTGTTAATCTAATTAAATTAATCAATTAGTTTTTATACTACCTCCAGTTCTAATTATAAGAACCAGTTGATTAATTTGAGGAAATTAAGGAAGTAAGTTGAATTAGTTATTTGTCCTGACTACGTGTTATTTTTCCTAAAATATCCTTATTAATCAAGTGTATTGACTAAAACTATCATTGTTAGAAGAGTTACTTAGAAAAAATATATATAAATATGAGAGATAAAGTGGATTGGGGTATTATATTAACAGTCAAAATAAAAATTAAATAAAATCTTATATTAAGGATCAGAGTAGTATTAAGGATTGAAGGTAATATTAGTATGGGTAGTATTATATGAAAATATTTTTGTATTCTATGAAACTAACGGAAGGAAACATGCCTGGTTTGCTGTATTTTCAGGCCCCTAGGAAGGTCTCGATTTTATATTATGCGTTTTTTTTTTTTTTGGGAAATATTCAGATACTATATGATACTGAACCTTATGGAAGTTCAACGTAGATTTTAGTTAACTTATTTAAAACCTGAACTTAATTTAACTTATTTAAAATCTGCACCGGATTGGCACAAGAGCAAAGCATATCCAACTGTAGCAAATAAAGAGATTTACCATATTCCCTTATCATTATTAGATTATTATTATTGCCATATTTATTACAATTAAGTAATTTATTTAATTTATTTAATTCATTTAAATTAGTTAAGTAACTTTTACACTAAAAATCGGAACAACAACAAGCGTCTCAAGATGTGCAAATTCATTCTAACTCCAATTTTATGTAAGGATGATTAACCAACAAATTTACATATATAAAAACTAAATATTGCACTCCTTCCTATCCTATTTATAACAACCTATTAATGATTTTACGTAAATTAAGAAAGTTACTTAAAATTAGTTATTTCTTGTAAACTGTTAAAATCACCTTTACTAAAAGTAATTAGGTTTTTAATAAAAGTAATTAGTTTGTTTGGAGGAGTTTGTTTAAGGAAAAAAACTTATGTCAACTTAATTATATTCATTATGTAAAATTCATAAGTGAACATATAAATGGGCATATCCATTTTAACCGCCAAAAATGTAAGTGACTTCACTTAAGTTCTATTTTTTGTTTAATTATTGGTTAAAAAAATGAGGAGTTTGTTTAATTAATTTGAAAATTTAATAATTTACTTGGAATATTAGATGAAAAATTGTTATTTTAAATAAAATATGCTATATCAACAAACATGCAAAAAAGTTATTGTAATAATAAAATGAAAGCGACAAATTAAATACTGCCTCCGATCCTTAATATAAGACCCTGTTTGACTTTTATTTTGGTCTTAAATATAAGATCCTAATCCATTTTGTCTCTCATATTTATATATTTTTTTTCAAAGTAGCTCTTCTAACAATGATAGTTCTAATCAATACACTTGATTAGTAAAGATATTTTAGAAAAAAACAACACATATTTAGGACAAATAACTAACTTAACTTACTTCCTTAATCTCTTCAAATTAGTCAACCGACTCTTATAATTAGGACTGGAGGTAGTAAAAATTAGATAACAACATATCATGTGAGCTTATATCAATGTGGATTTTGAATAATCCTAGATGAAGAGACGCTGGACCAGACGGCTTGTCTCACCAGAACTTAAATTATTGAGACATTGATATGTAACCTTTATAAAGCTCCCAACTAAACATCCCCTATTCATATGTCTCCACCAATTTCTCAAAATGGACAAATACATATTTGATTTGCTCATCTTCTCATACACGGAGTTACATGTCTGCAAAACCAACAAGTTACTTAGGATTACACATGATGTCTCATGATCTAACCAATGTGTCAGGACCTAATGCGTGCTTATTTTCATGCAAAGCAAATTTCAGTTTTAAATTATCATCTTCAGTGATTAATATAAAGATTAAATAACTAATTTAAAAATATTAAAAAATTTAATTAAGTTAGTTATTTAGTTCATAACAAACATATGATGGCTTCCATAAATTGCCATTTTTAATTATGTGTGGTTGATCTTTATGGAATTACCTCTTGGTAATTTCAAAATGTACTTGTATGCTTACTTCCATAAATTTTTTTTTTTACAAACAACTTTCATAAACTATCATTTTTAATTATATATGTTAGAATTATTTTTACAAATAATATGAATAGTTTTAGGAAAAATTTATAAATTTAGAAGATAAAATGGATTGAAGTACCTCTAGTCCTTAATATAAGAACTCATTTGATTTTTATTTTGGTTCTAATTATAAAAACTTAATCCACTTTGTCTCTCATATTTATCTATTTTTTCAAAATAGTTATTATAATAATAATAATAATAGTTCTAACAAATATACTTGATTAGTAAGGATAATTTTAAAAAAACACATATTTATTACAAATAATTAACTTAACTAGTTTTCTTAATCTACTCAAATTAGTCAACTAGCTCTTATATTAAAGATTATGATAGTATTATATTTAGAATTAAATCTAATCCCAACTAATTCTTATATTAAGAATCGAATGTGATATTTTAAAATAATTCTCCCTCTAATCTTTAATATAAGAGATTAAGAGCAACTTGATTAATTTGAATACATAAAGAAAGTTAGATAAAATAGTTAATTATAATAGCACTAAAGTATATATTTGGTCCTTTAACTTTGTATAAGGATTTACTTTGGTTTTTTAACTTTAAAAAGTATACTTTTAACTCTTTAACCCTAAAATTGTTTTAAAAAAATGACAACATTAAAATTTTAAATGTTAATAAAATATTATCAAATACTAACATATTAAGTTTAATTTTTAAATCATTTATGATTTTTACGGGAAAAAAATCATCTGACTCTAATAATTTTAAGGTTAAAAAATCAAATATATACTTTTTGAAGTTAAAAAACTAAATTAAAACCTTGTATAAAGTTAAATGACTAAATATATACTTTAGCCATTATCATAATCTATTTAAAATATCTCTATAGAATATTAAATTATATTTTAAGTAAATTTACTTGAAAAAATGATAAATATAAAAAATAATGGATTAATATATGATATTTAATACTAAATTTAACTCATGACTAACTTAGTAGCTCTTACACTAAATACGGGAGCAAATAAGTTTCTCTTAAAAAGTTGCGTGGATTTAATGACTTGTATAAAGTTATAGTAATAACCCATATAATTTAAAATTAGTTACATAATTTATGTTTTATAAATAATGTGATTTATTATATTTTATATAAATTAGACGAGAGTTGAAGGAACATGAATTAACCACAAATAAGTCCCCACAAGCCTTCAATCATTTGTACGGTTTTGTACCTACCCTTTCATTTCACTCTCTTGTTCGGTCCCCCCCCCAAAAAAAAAAGGCTTTTATTCATCAATCTTATAATGATACCACCCTACCAATATTATTCTTTTTTTTTTTGGTCAAAACCTACCAATATTATGCAAGCCAACTTCAACGCCAGATCTTTTGGGCAAAAAAAAAAAAAAAAAAACTTCAACACCAGATCAATATCCCTTCAGTTCATTAATTGAATAACTGAGACTGAGGCATGAAAATTATCTGTATTTTGACATTAGTATTCTAAATTTCTATTTTAAAAGAAAACAAAAGGCGAGTATTCAAATGAAAATGAAAAATAAAAAAGTAAAATAAAATTTGAATAACTTTAAATTATTAGTTGAAGTTTGAGAAAAACACTTAATTATTGAAAGTCCAGCAAGTGTCCTTGTCAACTTTAACATGATTGTCTTCTTCTTTTTCTTATTTTTCAATTATAAAATTGAAAAGCAGCACTCGTCATATGTATCCTGTACTTGGATTTTTCCTAATTCGTGTGCACTGAAATAAATAATGGAATAAATCTCATGCGCAGAT